TCATAGCGACCCTATAGGACAGAGTAGAACTGCCCCATAGAGTTTCCAAGGAATGACTAGTGGATTCCAACTATCAACGTTTTGGTTAGCAGCTGAGCTCTTAACCACTGGGCCACCAGGGGTCCATTCACTTACAAAGGAGAAGCAATATGGTGCTGTTGAAACCACTGTGTTGGAAATCTAGAGACTTGCCTTTTGGTTCTAGTTTTGCAACTAAGAGAAGAGTGACCTTAGTTGCTTCAGCTCTGTTTCCCCATCTATAAAATGAAGTGGGTTAGATCTGCTCCGAAGTACCTATGGTTGTGGAAAACTGCACTATTTAAAACAAAGGACATGTCCCTGTCTTGATTAAAGCACTTGAATAGCTCCCCACTGTTCTCAGGATAAAGCCCAAACTCCTTACCTTGGCCTGCAACTGGTCTTTGTGATCTGTCCCCTACCTCTCTCTAGTCCCTTCTGCTGTGAACAAGCTTTGGCTAAAAGGAACCTCTTTTAGTTCTCCAAACTTGTGTTGTCTCTTACCTTTGACCTTTGCATAAACTCAGCATTTTGCTTGGAACATTGTTCTCCTTTCCCTCTCCCTTCCAGTGGTGTCACTAGGGGGGAGAGGGGGTGCAGACTGCACCAGGGTACACTGTCAGAGGGGGTGGCACCAAACTGACTGTCTATAAAATTTTTGTGCAGTGTTTCAGCAGAAATTTATTATTTTTTATAAAAATATTCCTGTAGTTATAACAACAAAAACATTTTTTGTAAGCCCAGCTTATATGTATCAATGTACTTACCAGGCTAAAACTGTATGCTAATTTACTTTTTGAACCTTCTGATGCACTCCCATCAGAGCTGTCATTATTACCCAATTATAATGACGTTTCAAATCACGTGGTTTTGTCTGCATGTGCTACAGGTACGCGCTGTTGTCTTCATTGCTGCTGCAAGGATTCTATATGGTCTGGTACATGAGGAGGTCCATGGGAGTGGGGGTGACACCATGAGTTACTGCACTGAGTAACACTAGCCCCAGTGACACCTCTGCCCCCTTCCACAGCTTTCCCCAGTTTGCCTGCCTAAACTTCTATTCATTCTTCAGACACCCATTTAGATGTTACCTTCTCCAAGAGTCACTCATGATCCCTCCTTGCCTGGGTTAGATGTCCCTCATTATACATCCACGGCTCCCTGGGCTTCCTTTATCATGCTACTTATGATGCTGTGTTGTAATTGTTGATTTACTTGCCTGCATCCCACATTAGACCATAAAATCTAAAACAGCAGGACTGTCTGTCTTGCTCCCCATCACATCCTCAGAGCCTAACACAGAGCCTGGTACATGATAGGATGCAAATAAAAATGGTTGAATGAATAATGGAAGGTGAAATCTTAGTTTACACTTTCCCAATGAAATTTGCAGCTGTCTGTCTACTGCCTTTGGATTTTCTTTGTGTTCAACCCCAGGCTGCACCATCAGCAATGAGAGGATCAAAGCTACCAAGTGAGAATTGCTTTCCGCTTGCAAAGCTGTGGCCCATGCATTGTGGTTCCATGTGTGGCAACATGCCTTGTTTTTAGAAAAGCCTCAAATCAGCTAGAACATTCAGGTCTCTGTTAAAAAACCATCAGCAGACCCTTCTTCATAGAAACTGGTAGTAAAACCCAGAGCTTGGGAAGTGGCTTGAGAATTGGTTCTGGAGAAAGAAAACATAGATAATAATGATAGCTATCATTTACCAAGTACATTGTCTCATTTAATTTTCACCATTATCCTATGAGGAAAATATAATCATTAGTCCCATTTTAGAGTTGAAGAAACTAAGGCAGTTAAATAACTTGCCCAGGTACTGAAACCAAAACCCGTGCTTTTAACCACATGCAGCCTCATCTTCCCTCTACCAAACTGAATCCATGTATTTATTAATATGCCACCTCATTCCAAAAATGTATTTAGTGCAAGTTACAGGGGTACATTACATTAAAAAAATAAAAATAAGAAATTTTTTAAAAAGAGAGATGGAAAAGGGTACAAATATGAGATGGAGACAAAAAAATGTGATTAATAAACAACTGTGTGGTATGGGCTTGCTACGATAGACTCATACATTTGGTTCCAAGCATTCTTGTGGTTAGCAAAAAAGGAAAAAACGGATGGTGAGTTACACAGATAAAACCTGTCCATCAGATAAAACCTGACCACTTGCTCAAAATGGCCTCATTTTACAGACAAAAGAACTGAGGAGCAGGAAGGGAAGAGTTATCCATGGCAGGCTGGACGCAGACCCCAGGTCTTTTATAGGAAACTGGATTGCCTATCTCTTTGAATCTGAAATAATTTGTTAAAGCATATATGTAATAATTACTGGATGCTTATTTGAGGCCAGCCTCTGTGCTAAGTCCTCTTTATAGATGGATTCATTTCATCTTCACACAATCCTGAGAAGTATTTTATAAATGAAAAATTGAGGATGGTTTTGTGGTTGAAACATTGCAGCTCCACTCTGGGCCATTTGGAAATGTGTGTCTTCCCTTTTCTGCTGTCCTTCCCTCGCTCTGCTCATTTCCCATAACTTTTGGACAACTGTCCTCACTTGAAGGTCAGGTCATTTAGTACATAACTTGATAGCAAAGAACATTTCATTTTTATTTACACACATGCTATTCAAAATAATTTTGATAAGGACTGATAAGTAGGGTCTGAGCATATTCTAAACAGCACTTGGAATTCAACAGTGTAGCTGAGGCACAATGGGATTGGTGCTGCTGTATTCTTTGTAGGCTACTCAATCCCACAAAATGACTGAGGGCATGTCCTTTGGGGACAGACAGGTCTGGATTCAACCTCCCACTCTGGCACTTACTAATTGTGGGGCCTTCAGTGATTCTGCTCAGTAATTCACTGAGCCCACATTCATTGTCTATAAAATTGAGATAACAATACCTATCCTTTGAAGTCTTGTGAAAATTAAACGAAATAATAAGTGTGACACACTAAGCCCAGAGTCTTGTACATAATAGATGCTCAAAATGGGAGCTATTATTATTATTACTATTATTAACATGGTTTGAATTTTGGTGAGATCCAGTAGGAAGCATACAGACCTTGAAGTAAGATCTGAGTTTGAATCCCACTTGTGTTGTTAAATAGCTCTACAGCCTCAGGTGTGTCTGTCAATCAGTGAACATACATGAACAACTATCTGGTAGTAGGAACAAGGCAAAAGTTATCCCCTAGCTTTGCATTTCTCAAATCTACTCAACATACTGCTGCCAGAGTATCACTCTAAATGCAAATTTGACCTTCTCTCCTTACTCAGTGATACTGTTCTTCCCTACCTACAGAGTAAAGTGCCAACTTCTTTTCTTTTTAAAATATAGTCCTTGTCTAGATTTATAACCTGTTTCATCCTGCACATCTCTTCTACCGTTCCTGTCCTTGCTGAGACCACATGCACACGCACGCTTGCACACGTGACCTCTCTCATGCTCCAGCATTGCTGCGCCGCTAATAGCTTCCTAATACATCACGCTGTTCTCTCTGCCTAGAAAGCATTTCTTATATTTCTGCCCACTTGTTTACCTAAAAAAACGTAATTTATCTTTAAAACTGAGTCAGATTTTATATTCTCTAGGACAGTGCTTCTCAAACTTTAATGCTCATATGATCACCTGTGGATCTTGTCAAAACAGATTCTCCTTTAGTAGATATGGGGAGAAGCCTAACAATTTGCAGTTTTGACAAGCTGGTAATGCTGCTGCTGATCCAGGGACCACATTTTGAGAAGCAAGGCTCTAGAAGTTTCCCTGACGTTACCCTTCCCTTGATAGATTCCATCACTTCTTCCCTGTTCTCTTTTCTTCTTTGACTACATCTCTGTTGTTACTCTAATTGCTGTATTATAGTTTTACTTGCTTATATAACTGCCTACCCAATCAGAGCAGGGGTTTCTTGAAAGTGATAACTGCCTTTTTCATCTTTGTTTCCGCAGAATTCAGCACAGTGTATGACACATAGGAAGCATTTGATATTCACTTGTTGAATGAATGCTGTTGAATGATATATAGTCTTCACGTATGTATGTGAACAAGTGAACACATAAACTGCTGCCAGAGTATCATTCTTTGGACATGTTATCAGGAGGGACCAGTCCCTGGAGAAGAACATCATGCTTGATAAGGTAGAGGGTCAGCAAAAAAGAGGAAGACCCTCGAGGAGATGGATTGACACAGTGGCTGCAACAATGGGCTCCAGTATAGCAACAACTGTGAAGGTGGTGCAGGACTGGGCAGTGTTTTGTTCTGTTGTACATAGGGTTGTTTTGAGTTGGAAGTGACTTGATGGTACCTAATAACGACAGTCTTTATGTGTCCGTGGAAGAGGAAACTATGTAGCCATTTTTACTTAAGGAAAAGTTTTGGAAGCTTAACATTTGGATAAATACGGAACTCAAGCCATCCACACCATCTTTATTAAAACATACACCTTTTATTTGCTATACCCAGCCTTCAACTCTGTACACGCTACAAGAAGTAAAAGATATTTGTAACGTCTTTATTTTGAACACTAACACTTTATATTGACGGTATACTAATAAATACTTCATCCTATCCAAATATAAATACACAATATCAAAAGATACAAAATGCAAAATCTACAAAATGCAACTAGAACCAAAAATTTGTATAAGGAAATTCTTTGAACACACCATATTGTTTTCAAAATTTGAGAGACAAAAACCCGGCAGGAAGCCTGTATTTGTGGGATAGGACACTGGGAGGTGAACTGCCTACTCATGTTCATTTAAGGCCACAATGAATCTGAACTTGAAAAAAATAATGCCACGCTGAGAGGAATTTTCCAAACTAGACCACAGAGATCTGTCAATTCCGAGGTTTTCCGTCTAGGCTGACCAGTCCAGAGATCATCTCTAATTAAGGGCTGCAAAAGAGAATGTCTAATTGTGGATAGATTGAATAAGATCATTTTCTAAATGATACTTTTATCTTGAGGTTCCCAGTTGCACAATAATTATAGTTAACAGCTATACATTTGAATTTCCAAAAAAAAAAAAATTGCAGTCAATTCCCACTCATAGCGACCCCACACGACAGAGGAGAACTGCCCCCATAGGGTTTCCAAGGAGCAGCTGGTGAATTTGAACTGCCAACTGCCAACCTTTTGGTTAGCAGCTGAGCTCTTAACCACTGCCTCACAAGGGTTCTCATCTGAATCTCAAAATGGCCAAAATATATGAGTTAGAAAGATCCTATTGCAACATCATTAGGTAAGTTCCCTATGAGCTTTATCTAAACAGTCTAGGAAAATAAAATCTCTGTTATATCAGGGAATATCCTTCTGCACAAAATGTCCAAGAAGACAGCAGCTCAAAGCTGGCCTAGTAAATCAAAGGAGGCATTTGTATTTCTGCAGGAGAATCATTCAAAGCTCATCTGTTAAGTGTCTTCATACAATATGATTCTAGCAGACTAGGGGAATTTAGGGTTAACTGAGCAATGCAAAAGTCAACTAACTGTCACTGAATTGTACATGTAAAAAATGTTGAAATGGCAAATGCTTTTGTTATATACATATCTGCCACAATTAAAAATAAAACGTCACTTAACTATGACCAAGGTGAGAATACACTAAGGAAAAAGAAGATCCGATTCCAAGCTGGAGAAGTTCCTGAGTGGTGCAAATGGTAACATGCCTGGCTGCTAAACAAAGAGCTGGAAGTTGAAGTCCACCCAGAGGTACCTGAAAGAAAGGCCTGGAGATCTGTTTCTGAAAAATCAGCCACTGAAAATCTTATGGGGGCACAGTTCTACTCTGACACACATGGGGTTGCCATGATTTGGAACTGACTCCACGGCAACTAGTGGTAATTCAGTTTGGAGGGTCAGAGCACCAGACTCGGTGGTCTATGTGGGAGCAAAATTATTCCCTGGTGGTGCTACATCAACTTCTTGGATTGGCTTTCTATGATGTCCTTCCCCTCTGCTGTCCTTAACTCCTTTGCAATCCCTTTCATACTCAGTAGGAGGCAGTGTTGAGCAGGGAGAAAGACTGCATTAAATTCAGACAGATTTTGGCTAGAACCTCGGGGGCTCTATACTTCCTAGCTCCGTCACTTCAGGCAGGTATCTTGACTTTTTAAAGCCTCAATTCTGTTATCCGTAAAATGGGAATATTAATACTATCTCATGCGCGTGGTGTGAGGATGAACTGAGGTTCTGTATTGAAAGCTCGTAGCTCAGGCTATACTCGCTTAGCATGTTTGAGGGCTCAGCCTAACAGTAGGCATCTTTGTGCATCTTGGGAGCACCACATCTTACTTTTCATGAGGACTGTTTGAGCAAGAGCAGACTCCTTGTTCTTCTCCTAGAGTTTTGGGCGCCTTGATGTCTCAGTCTTAAAATTGGAAAACCTGAGGGCCTAAACAAGCGTCTGTTTCTCTGAAAGGTCACACTGACCAGCACAATGGTGCCCTCTGTTGGTGAGGACGGAATATTGCAGAGAGAGAGGGCTGGTTCTGTGAGGCCAGAAAAACGGTGGCCAAGTCTTCAGTCAGAGTCAGTGTTCAGAGTAATCGTTTCTGCCTAGGATCCTGCAGGGGACTTTTGTGCAGAGGGGAGGCATAGTCACCTGTCTCATTTGGTATTAAAGGTGAGGATCAGAGTGGTAACAACCCAAGGCCTTTCTTTGTACCAGTTGGTTCCCTACCATCACCTGCCCTCTTGAGTTCCTGCCCAGACACTAGGTACACAACACTCCCAACTGTAGAATTTGACTTATTCACCCCAATCCATCCAACGGAGCTCACCATCCTCCCCTCCAGGAGACAGGTGGCAGAACACCCTTACAAAACCTCATGAAGCTGCATCTCAGAATATCTGCCCTCTGATGTGAGAGACTGTCCCATCATCCTCTACTGCAGGAAGCTGTGGCTGACGGCATCATAGCCGCAGAGCTCGCTTTTTCTGACTTGAATTAACCCACCAGTTTTCTTAGAAAAAGAGACATATTCCTCGTTTCCCTTGCCCCCAATCTTCGATTACTGTGTTGCTGGGTCCAATCAAAAGTTTCTTTGTCCCATAAACTTTAGACCCATGTTTAAAATAATAATAAAAATAATAATCCAGAATCCTATTCCTGTCTCTCCCTTTCACTAAGAAGCAGTGCAAGAAATGTTGCCTGAAGCTTTCAGATTGAGGCTTGTGCACTACATGTGACAAGAGGCTGGAGGGAGGGCAGAGACGTCACTGCTGTGCTGGTCCCGCTCCCAGCTCAGTGGCTGACCCTCCTGCCTGTGTCCCAATGCCAGCCGCTAACGGCACTGCCTCTGTGGCAGCTCAGGGACAGGAGTCACAGGCCACACTGCCCCTGAGAAGTCCTGGGCTTGGGGAAGATTTAATGCTCTGTGGAAGGAGGACTTCCCTCCCCCATTCAGGATCTGCAGCCTGTGTCCTGGCACCAAGTCTCTGCTAAAGTCCTGATTCTGCGATTTCAGCCAGTTGACCCAACAGGCTGGAGAAGGGTGGCCGGTCTTCTGGTCTCTGGAAAGGAAAGAAAGAGCTCTGTGAGTTCCTTGTACTTGTGTGTTGGTGTATATCCAAAGTGAACCAGAGTTCAACAACAACACTCTGCTGGTTTTGAAATATGCTTCCATGTATACTGTATTGGAGGCATTACATTCTAGTTGTTAACAGTAGGTTTCTTATTCTGGAATCAGAAAGTCTGGTTTTGAATCACAGCTTTACCACTCATTAGCTGTGTGACCTTGTTACTTAATCTCTTCAGATTTCAGTTTTGTCATCTGTACAATGGGGATAATAATAGTACCTACCTCATGATTGTTGTAAGAATTAAATAAAATCATGTATAAAAGTACATCGTAGAAGTTTAAGTGCTAAATAATACAAAAAATAAAATGCTTAGGTATAAATCTAACAAAATATGAACAGGATCAACATGAGGGAAATTATAAAATTCTGATGAAAGAAATTAAAGCTCTAAATAAATGGAGAGATATTCCATGTTCATGGATAGTAGGACTCAATATTGTTAAAATGTCAATTCTTCCCAACTCAATTTATAGATTCAATGTAATCCCAATCAAAATCCCAGCAAGTTATTTTGTAGATATTGAGAAACTGATTCTAAAGTTTATATGGAAAGCCAAAAGACCCACAATAGCCAACACAATACTGAAGAAGAAGAATAAGGTCAAAGGACTGACACTACTTGACTCGAAGACTTAGTATTAAGACAGCACGGTATTGGCAAAAGAATAGATACATAGATCAGTGAAATAGAATAGAAAGCCCAGAAACAGACCCACACAAATAGAGTCAATTGATCTTTGACAAATAAGCAAAGGTAATTCAACGGAGAAAGGGTTACCTTTTCAACAAATGGTGCTGGAACAACTGGACATCACATGCAAAAAAAGAAAGTGAATCTAGACACTGATCTTACACCTTTCACAAAATTTAACTCAAAATGGCTCATAGACCTGACTTTAAAGTGCAAAACTTAAAATAAAAGACCAGATTTACTGGTCTGATGGAGGCTGGAGAAACCCTGAGAGTATGGCCCCCGGACACCCCTATAGCTCAGTAATGAAGTCAGTCCTGAGGTTCACCCTTCAGCCAAAGATTAGACAGGCCCATAAAACAAAACAAGACTAAATGGGCACACCAGCCCAGGGGCGAGGACGAGAAGGCAGGAGGAGAAAGGAAAGCTGGTAACTGGGAAGCCAAGATCGAGAAGGGGAGAATGTTGACATGTGGTGGGGTTGGCAACCAATGTCACAAAACAATACATGTATTAATTGTTTAATGAGAAACTTGTTTACTCTGTAAACCTTCATTTAAAGTACAATAAAAAAATGTAAAACTATAAAACTTCTAGAAGATAATATAGGAGAAAGTCTAGATGACCTTGGGCTTCTTGATAATTTTTTAGATACAACACCAAAAGCACAATTCATGAAAGGAAAAACTGATGTTAGACTTCATTAAAATTAAAAACTTCTGCTCTGTGAAAGACATTGTTAAAAAAATGAAAAGGCAAACCATATACTTGGAGAAAATATTTGCAGAACACATTTTAGACTTGTATCTAAAGTATACAAAAACCAGAAACTCAAACCCATCGCCATCGAGTTGATTCCCACTCATGGAGACCCTATAGCACAGAGCAGAACTGCCCCACAGGGCTTTCAAGGAGTGGCTGGTGGATTTGAACTGCTGACGTTTTGGTTAGTAGCCAAATGCTTAACCACTGCACCACCAGGGCTCCAAAATATATAAAGAACTCCTAAAACTCAACAATAAGAAAACAAACAACCTAATTAAAAAATGGGCAAAAGATCTGAATAGTCACCTCACCAACGAAGATATACAGATGGCAAATAAACATATGAAAAAAATATTCAACATCATATGTCACTAGGGAAATGCAAATTAAAACAACAATGAGATACTACTATACAAGCATGGCTAAAATTCGAAACACTGACAGGACTCAATGCTGGCATGGATGTGAAGCAACAGAAATTCTCATTCATTGCTGGTAGAAATGCAAAATGGTACAGCCACTTTGGAAGACAGCCTGACAGTTTCTCACAAACTAAACATAGTCTTACCATACAATCCAGCAATCGTGCTCCTAGGTATTTGCCTATTTGAGTTGAAAACTTATGTCTACACAAAAACCTGCATACAAATGTTTATGGCAGCTTTACTCATAATTGCACAAAACTGTAAGCAACCAAGAAATGCTTTCTCAAGCCACAAAAAAGACATGGAGGAACCTTAAATGCATATTGCTAAGTGAAGAAGCCAATTTGAAAAGGCAACATACTGTAGGATTCCAACTATGTGACGTCCTGGAAAAGGCAAAACGATAGAGACAGTAAAAAGATCAGTGGTTCCCTGAGATTCAAGGGAAACGGGAGTGAAATGAACAGGGGATTTTTGTTGCTGTTCTTGTTAGGTGCTGTTGAGTCAATTTTGACTCACAGAGACCTTATAGGAGAGAGAAGAACTGCCACATAGGATTTCCAAGGAGCAGTTGGTGGATTTAAACTGCCGACCTTTTGGTTAGCAGCTAAATGCTTAACCACTGAGTCACCAGGGCCCCAATACAAACTATAGGCATTAATTAATTAAGAATTATGTATCAATATTGGTTCATTAATTGTAACAAATGTACCACACTAATATAAGATGTCAATAATAGGGGAAACTGTGTGAAGGAGAGAGAGGGTTATACGGGAACTCTGTACTTTCTGTGTAATTTTCCAGTAAATCAAAAACTTCAAAAAATAAATCTATTAATTAAAAAATTATTAAAAGATAGTTAAAAAAAGAAAAAAGTGTCAAATAAACCTCAGCTATCATTATTATTATAGCATTTAATCCATATGAAATAGCCAATATTTGTTTTGGGCTCTTGTTTGTGTCTTTATGGCACTGTCTTTTGTGTTATTACTGATTATAAAAGCTCTGTGAACTTACATGTCAAGTGTTATTCAATTCTCTTTTACCCATAAGAAAAAGGGGCTTCAGAGAATTGCCTAAGATTAATGTCTAAAGAAGGGTAAAGCCGAGACAAAACACAAGTGTCCTATGCTTTTTCTATTCTACCTTATTGCCCTTTAATGATCTGAATTTTTGTTAACTATTTCAGTAACTTTCAACTTTGGCTGAAATTTACAATGTTCTAAAAGTCACCAAAGGACACCTAAGACTCACGCTGATGTGGCTCAAGGCATAGCCTGCCACCCAGGCAGAGGTAATGGAGTCATCTGGGAGGGTACAGAGTCATCAGCTCCCATTCTGAATCCCCAGGACTGAGAACAGTGTCTGACATACACAAGGCTCTCCATAAAAGTTCACTGAATGAATAAAATGAACTTTAATTAAGCCATTTTAATATATTCACAGCCCAACTGAACTCGTTTCCCAATTTATAGAACTAATTCAACACACTTTTTAATGGTTTTATGATGTTACTGATATTTTTTTCTCTTCTCAGAAAACTGGGGAGGGAGGTGGTGAAGGCCTCACCCTACCTCCTCTCCAAGACTATGCTTATGGCTCGTGACATTATGCAGCAAATCAAGTATCATTTAAGGTCACTGCCAGCTCTTAGAAACAGGGAATCTCTCTAGTTAATGGACCCACAAAGTTACTTTCCTGCGAATCCATTTTAGTCATCTCTGCTGCTTCTTCCTTCTAAGAGGGTTCCTTTCTCTAGGGAAAGGGGTGGACTCTGAAATCGTAGATTATAACACAGAAGAAAACCATTTCCTCCACTGACCTCTTTCCAGCAATGATTCATGATCTGGTAGATATTCACGGAGGCCAGTCGGGGCTTGTATAACCGAAATCCTGTACTGATATCTTCCACCACCTCAGAGTTGCTTCGGTTTTCATACGGGATTTTGCCTTCGCTGAAGACTTCCCACATGAGCACACCTACAAGAGATGGTGAGGATAATGTCCACAGGTAACAAACAAACCATCCTCCAGAAATCACAGACTCCTTGGCATTAGGATTCAAGTTCCTGCCTCCAGGAAGTACAATATGAAGTCCCCCGAAGCTGATGAGGCCTGTCCTGTTCCTAAAGATCTGAGATTTCTCAACCTTCTTAGTAGTTACGAGTTTTCAAGCTCAACCCTTTGTTATACCTAACTCAAATGCCTATGATTAAAAACTGCAGAGGAAATAAACTCAAATGCCTATAAAGATGATGGAAATGAATAGAGTTGGGAGGTGTGTATTGAACTGGTGAGGGACGAGTGAGGAATATGGAGGACTGGAGATCAAAAGTTCTGTCTTAAGGAGTCAGCTGTGATTCAGCTCCAGCCAACTTACAGCACATGGAACAAAGGTGAAGGGTTGCCACTTTTCTGATTTTTCAACAGAAGTCAGAAATTGAGTTTTAAAATACAAGCTCAATTTTTTGGCCATTAATTTGACTTTTAAAAATATTGTATAGACCAAGCAAAAGACACCTTTAGGTTGTCCATTTCTGACCTCTGATTTAATCCTCTTCTGTCCTCAGTAGATTGTCATAACTGGCTTCAGTGTATACCTATATATCCATAGGATGTCAGAGTGGGAAGAAAGCTTGCAGATCACATAACCCAGTGGTTTCCAAGGTATATTCCACAGAACTTTGGGGCAGAGTTTCCCAAAGAGTGATCCTTAAAACACCTGCATAAAAAATCCCCTCAGAAGTTTGTTAAAATGGCAGATTCCTAGGGCCCAGCTCAGATTCACTAAATCAGAATTTCTAGGGCATCCTGAGAGGTTATTGGGAGTTTTGGAAATTCAGAACTGGTCTGTAAATAAGGCTGTTTAGCATCCAAAGAGGAGCCCTGGGTGGTGTAAACAGTTAAGTGCTCAGCTACTAACCAGAAAGTTGGCAGTTCCAATCCACCCAGAGTTGCCTTGGAAGAAAGGCCTGGCGATCTATTTCCAAAAGGTCACAGCCATTGAAAACCCCTGTGGAACACAATTGTATTCTGACACATGTGGGGTCGCCATGAGTTGGAATCGACTTGACGGTAACTGGTTTTGTTTTGGAGCATCCTAAGATGCCAGGATTTCTAGTGAGATTTCTTTTGAAAATGGGGTTCTACTGCTAAAAAAAAAAAAAAGTTTGAAAACAATTGTTTCATTATAAACCTACTAATGCATAGATAAAATACTGAGTAAAGCTCAAAAAAGGTTACTTGCTTAAAATAACACAGCTAATTATGGCAAAAATCTTACAATGCCTGATCTAAAGTTCAATGGCCTTGAGGCAAGGGTCAAACTCTCAGCCCACCCAGGCTTCTGTTTCTCATACTTTCTTCACTGAACCCATTCTACTCTGCATCCACCAGCCACCCTCATCTTTGGACTCTCTCCAGATAACACAACCTAGTCAGGGACAAGCTTCAGCGCAGCCCTCTAATGGTAAGATGCAGCAGAAAATTCCCAAGCTGACACTCCATGGTAAAACAAACTCCATTCAGATCAAGTGAGTGGGCCAAAGTGGCTATTCCTGTAAACATCTCTTTATAGGCACCCAGCTGGGTGCAGTGTGACAGCCTTTGTCACCCATAAAGAGATGATTGCAAACCAGCCCTGAGCTTCCTAGTTATACGCACTGGAGAAAAGAGGATCTTCTGAGAATGCTGTTAGCGCATTTTATTTCTTCCAAGTTCATTTTGTAACTTCAACCTGGCTAACAAAATCATAAATAGGCCTGGGGAATAGGGAGGCTGTTTAAAGGAACAGATCAAAGGAAACATAATGAAGAAACCACTAGACTGCTGGAAACGGGTATTCTAAAATGCTGGAGAAGACTTTAAAACTAGTTCTTCTAAGAGACTTAGACAGCTTCCCCCAGGTTTTCACTACTGGTCCACACACTTCGCAGACCTTCCCTTCATATGGAACGGCAAAATCAAACTTTAACCAGTTCCTTCTTGTAACCTAAATCAAAGAGGTGGTGTATTTGGTCTGGTGTATTTTTGTGTGTACTTTAGTATGCACGAACTATGGTTTAGGATGACATGACAAATCCAGCAAGAACGTTTAATACTTCTTGCTACACCAACATCATTCATGCATTCTTTCATTCATTCATACCCATTTGCACTTATTAGAAATTCTACTTCCTTACTATGGCCTGTCAACTTCATTGCCTTCCTCTCTACCAGTATACCCTGTTCTTTGGACACACCAAGCTTTTCCACTTACTGCTGTTTCACACTGTTCCCTGCTCTTTGAATGAGGATAGCTCCCTTTTATCATTAAGGTCTCAACTTAAGACTCACCTTTTTCTGAGGAGGAACTGGAATATATGTCCAATTGCCTCCATGAACCACTATTTCCTTTGCCAGGAGACCAGAAGAACTGGATGGTGCTCAGCTACCATTACTGAACAACTTGATCAAGGATTCCAGAGAAAAATTATGATCAAAAGGGGGAAAATGTGAAACAGAACTTCAAATTCTCCTGGAATCCAGACTTTCTGGAGCTACTGGGGGCTGGGTGACCCCTATTCCAAAACTATTGCCCTGAGGAAATCCTTAAACCTTAAACTGAAACTATCCCCTGAAGTCATCTTTAAACCAAACAATAGTTTAACTTAATTAGAAAAGAATGTCTGCCTTAAGCACTGTGTTCTTTTAAAGAATTATCTATATCAGATAATATTGAAAATAGCAACTCAAAAGGTTAGATGAGAAGCTTAGGGGACAGTGAGTTTGTGTTGTGATGGTGAAACGATTCGCAAAAGCTATCATGAAAGATGGCACAACTTGAAGAATGTAACCAATGTTGCTGAATTGTACATGTAGAAATTATTGAATTGATGTATGTTTTGCTGTGTATAGCTTCATTAAAAAAAAAAAAAAAGATTACAGCCCTTGCACCAGAATGTAAAAAAAAAAAAAAGTCGCATTCTCTAAGAAACCTTCCCAGACCATGCTATTTAAAGCAGATTCTCCCCCATTTCAGTCACTCTATCTCATTACTCTGCTTTATTTTATTCATAGCATTTATTCATCACTAGTTGGAATAGATGGCAAATGTTTTTTTAAAACTGATTTTATCTTATACATATATCTGCTAGTTTCTTCACGATTGTTATCACCCTCCCACACCACCCCCATCCCCGATACAATTTAGCTCCAAGAGGATTCTTTTCTGCCCCCTGCACCACTTTAGCCTCAGTACCTAGATCAACCCCTGACATATAGTAAAGCCAGTTGCTGTGGAGTCAATTCCAATTCATGGTAACCCTATATGTGCCACAGTAGAACTGTGCTCCACAAGGTTTTCAGTGGCTGATGTTTTGGAAGTAGATCACCAGGTCTTTCTTCTGAGGTGCCCCTGGGTGGACTCAAATCTCCAGCCTTTTGGTTAGCAGCCAAGTGAGTAAACTGTTTGCACCACACAAGGACTAGTAGATGCTCAATAAATTGTTGAAGGAATGAATAACTTATTGAGGGTTACGTGTGGGAATATAATGCTGGACAATACATGGTCCCTGCCTTCAAAGAGTTGATATTCTAATCTGCCGACTCCCTCTAGCTCTTGACCTCACAGCAGATACCACCAGAATCCTAAATGTTCACTTTTATTTTCATCCTCATTTCAAAAATTTCCAAGAGTGAATACAATAATGAATTCCTTTCAGAGCTGTTTTACACACAGGCCCTCAGACGGACACACTCATAGTCAAGCGTTCAGGGCAAGAAGAGCTGCCTGCATTTGACAAAGGAAACCTTGAGCCCAAGTCCCAGATCACAGGGGTGTGGGGCCAGGATGACTCTTACCAAATGACCACACATCCGACTTGCTGCTGTAGCGGCTGAAGGAGAAAACTTCCGGGGATGCCCACTTCACTGGGAACTTGGTGCCTGTGGAGCTGGTGTACTGATCATCGAGGACGAATCTGGGGAGAGAGTGGAAGGAGAATGTCAGAACATCCGATGGCCTGAGTCCCATTCCTGAAACCTTGCTGGCACCATATCCCCTTATTACCTTGTCATCCCAAAGTCGGACACCTTGATGACTTGGTTTTCTCCCACCAGACAGTTTCGGGCAGCCTGAAGAGCAGACAGGCAAATAAAAGGAAAAGTGTTGGTGGATAATCAGTAATTAAGGAGTCCCCTATAATCACAGTCCTTTGCTTTTTTATGTGCTGTCGTACAGGGGCCTTGAGGAGCTTTGCATTCATTAATTAAGCTTCTCAAGTGCCTCCTGGAAGTTAACTGGACAGTTGAACGTGTAAGACCCTTTATCAGAATGACTAGGTTTGATCTTTTATCTTTATTCCTGGGGTCTTTATTAGAAGAGAAGTCCAAGATGGTGTCTAACCAACGACATGCTCTAATGCAACCAGAGAGGACAGGATATGTTAACATTAGGAATGATATGAAGAAAGTGTTTCCCACTTAACTAAAATAAGAATGGACTTGGTAATTTGCTTAAAACTATCCCTCAATAGAGAGACTACCTGGCCTCTACTTAGTACTTAGTATCACAGAATGTTGCATTGAACGAGCCCTCAGAGATAATTGACCTCAGTGACTCTTAAATTTTAGCTTGCCTATAAATCAGTTGGGGGAATATGTCAAAATTAATATTCTTGAGCCCCAACCCCCAGCAATGCTGAGGGTGGTTTTAGGATCACCCCAATATGATTCTGAGAGGCCCTTGGATAACACTTTGAGAAAAATGGGCTTGTCCACTCCCCCCTTAATTTGCAGGTGGGAACCGAGGCACAGAGAGGTTAAGAGGGAGGCATTATTAGCCCCATTCTGGAAGAATGTAAACTGAAACTCAGCCATGAAAGGGATGGTCCACAGTTAGAGATGAGGCTAGGACTAGAGCCCAGATTTGAGCTCTCACACTTTGCTTTTCCACTAACCAGTTAACCAGTTGCCACTGAGTCAACTCCAACTCATGGGGACCCCAAGTGTGTCAGAGTAGAACTGTGCTCCATAGGGTTTTCAATGGCTGATTTTTCAGTAGATCACCAGGCCTTTCTTTTGTGGTGTCTCTGGGTGGACTCCAACCTCCAACCTTTCAGTTAGCAACCAAGGGCATTAACCATTTGCACCACCCAGGAACTTTGTGCTTTCCCACTAGAACTTCCCAAAATGTGCTGAGGGGGAAAGAAGTAGAGAGAGGAAGAGATGGTCTGTGACTCGTTATTTATTAATGAAACCTCAGCCTTGATAGCTCTGCATTTCAGTGGGACCTGCTCCTTCATCCTGGACCTGGAGGTTTTTACCCTGCACTCTCTTACCAGGTCTCTGTGGATGACACACGCATCTTCCAGGTAGGCCATGCCCTCACACACGTCCAAGCACATGCCCAGTAGGGTCTCCGCCGCAAAGACCCCCCGCTGGCTGCGCAGGTAATCTGATAGGCAGCCATGCTCCATGAACTCAAATACCAGGCAGATGGGGGCCTGCTCCAGGCATACCCCATAGAGCTGGACCAGTTTAGGGTGAGACAGTTTCCTAGAGGAAAAAGGCAAAGGATGAGATGACCCAAACCCAGTCTCCTAAAAGCACAGAACATTTTATGGCATCCAAGTACTCAATGGTTCCTTCATCCAACTCATGGTTTAGGAAAAAAAATCTACTACCCCAAACAAAAAATACATTTGATTGTGTTTATTGAAATTTGGTAACTGAAGGGGTGGTTTAGTGCTTCCTAGTACATGGGACTGATCATTACCTGAAATAGAAGAAAAAAAAAAAAAAAGCCTTTTCTGTTCAAATCTTCCCAATATCTTCTGTAGGGATAGTTGAGGTGACCATATAATTTAACATTCAAACTAGGACACTTTTGATAACAAAAGGTGACACTATCAATAATACTTCTGGACAAGGATATAAACTGGGACTGTTCTGGGAAAACCAGGATGTGTGGTCTCTGTAAATAAGAGACAGAAGATGGAATGTGGATCCTAAAGATGTTGTTTGGTTCCCTTCCACTGTGAGTCAAACCTCAACTTCTTCATCTGTAGAATGGGGGTAATAACAACTGATGTCTCATAGAGCTGTGGTGAAGAATAGATTAGACCAGTGGTTCTCAGCTGAGGGTAATTTTGTCCTGCAGGGGACATTTGGCAACGTCTTAAGACATTTTTAGTTGTCATAACTGGGAGAAGGGAGTGCTATTGGCATCTAGAGGGTTGTTATGGATTGAATTGTGTCCCCCAAAAATGTGTGTTAACTTGGCTAAGCCATGATTCCCAGTATTACGTGATTGTTCACCATTTTGTCATCTGATGTTATTTTCCCATGTGCTGTAAATCCTACCTCTATCATGTTAATGAGGCAGGATTAGAGGTAGTTATGTTAATGAAGCAGGACTCAATCTATAAGATTAGATTGTGTTTTGAGTCAATCTCTTTTGAGATATAAAAGAGAGAAGCGAGCCCAAAGACAGGAAGACCTCATACCACCAAGAAAGCAGTGCTGGGAGCAGAGTGTGTCCTTTGGACTCGGGGTTCCTGCGCTGAGAAGCTCCTAGACCAGGGGAAGACTGATGACAAGGACCTTCCCCCAGAGCAGACAGAGACAGAGAAAGCCTTCCCCTAGAGCTGGTGCCCTGAATTTGGACTTCTAGCCTCCTAGAATGTGAGAGAATAAATTTCTCTTTGTTAAAGCCGTCCACTTGTGGTATTTCTGTTACAGGAGCATTAGATAACTAAGACAAGGGTAGAGACCAGGGATGCTGCTAATATCCTACAGTGCATAGGACAGCCCCCACAGTAAAGAATTATCCAGTCCAAAATGTCAATAATGCTGAGGTTGAAAAAATCTGGATTCGACTGAATGAGAGATCGTTTTTGAAAAGAGCTTCATAACCTGCAAAACTTTCTTTAAACATAAGTGACCATTATTGCCCTACCAAATGCACCAGTGATAACTTGACTCCAGCAATCAGCTCTTTTCTTCACTTATTCTACATTTTTGGCTCATACAATCCCTTCCTAGACATCATTCATTCAACAAGCATTTACCAAGCAGTCATTATGTGCCAGGCACTATGCTAGATGCCAGGGATATGATGAATAAGACAGACAAGCTCCTACCCTCGTGGAGCTGACATTCTAGAGGGAACCAGGCTACAAAAAGTAAACGTAGCTTAAAAAAAGATAATCCCATATAGTGAGTTGAGAGAGTGACAGGGTGCTCAGAAAAGCCCTCTCAGAGGACATGACATCTGGGCCGAGACCTGGAATAAAAGGATGTCAGGGAGGCAGCTGGGTGTGTGTGAGGATGGGCAGAGGCCATTGTGGTTGGCATGTCTGGACCAGAGGTAGAGATAAGTAGGAGATGAGATTGAGGAAGTAGGTGAGGCCAGACCACGGAGGGCCTTGTAGACCATGGTGAAGAGCTTGGGTTTTAATCTCTGTGCATTAGGAAGACACTACTGGGTTCTGAGCAGGGAGGTGGCACAACATAGTATTAGAATGGTATCTAAGGAGCACAGCACAGAACCTTCACCCCAAGGCATCTTTGTATCCCCTGTTTTGACCACTCACATCATGACTTCTGCCTCTTCTATGAAGTCCTCTTCTGACATGGCCCCTTCTTGAATGGTTTTGATGGCCACCTTGTCCTTGTTGAGCCAGTAGCCAAGATGCACCAACCCAAACTGTCCGCTGCCTATCTCCTGCACAAAAGTGAGCTCCGAGGGATCGATCACCCATTTCCCTGAAAGAAAGAGAGATGGTTTTCCAGGGTTGGCAAGCATTAGATAGGAGGTATAGGGCTAGCAGGAGAGTATATAGCTCCTATGTAGAATTTTAGTCTTTTGTTAATATGACCCCAAAATGGCATATGGTATAGGCTGTAGACTTAGAACTACCATAAACCCATTGCCATTGAGTGAATCCCAATTTACAGTGACCCTATAGGACAGAGTACAACTGCCCCATAAGGTTTCCAAGGCTGTATATCTTTATAGAAGCAGATTGCCACATCTGTCTCCCATGAGAACTATAGCTAAAATTATTATATATATTTTTCTAAATAATGGCACAGGACATGCATTTAAAACCTTGAAAATATGTGTATTGGGGTTACATTGCAAAGGGGAAGGAGGAAAGCATTAATCAAGATATTAAAGGAACTAAATGAATGGGTTTCTGTAAGATCCCAACCATTTTCTATAACTGATTGAAAATTTGTTATTGTCATTTTTCACATAAGGCAAATTTTAATAGGCTGCTGATTCATTCCTTCATTCATTATCAAGAGCATCCGTTATGCACACAGCACTCCACTGGGCATTGGCAGGGGTGCGGAGTGAGGAGGTGGATTCAAAGAGAACTTGTATAGAGGCACAACCTAGCACAATGCCTGGCACGTGGTAGACTCTCCAGAAATGTTCAATAAACAAATAAAATGGCTCTGGGTCTCAGTTTTTTCACCAGCTAATGAGTGGGTTATCTCTGAGATCCCATCCAGCATGGGCACATGAAAATTCTACAGATATTACCATAATCTTATCTTCATAAGGAGGCTAAAGAGACATTATCCTTTTTTGATCCTTTTTCTAACATCCTTAGTCTAACACCATAAACAGCCAGATTTCTACCTCTTTGAGGCAGAGACTCAAGAAAAACAGTATTTAGTGCCTACTTTGTGCCAGTTACGGTGCTGGTTAGGGACACAGAGTCCAAGGCAGTATTTCTCAAATATTGCCCTCTAACTATTTGTATCAGAATCACCCAGGGTACTTATTTAAATGGCAGATTCTAGGGCACCACTACCAGGGATTAGGTTTGGATAAGTGCTGGGAAAGGTCCAGTAGTCACTATTTTTAATAAACATCCCAGATGACACTGATGCACACTGAAGTTTGAGAACCACTAACCTAAGAGAAATGGGTAACCTAAGTGCAATGGGTAAGCGCTTGGCTGCTAAATGAAAGGTCAGAGATCCACCGGAGAAAAGACTCGGCAATCTGCTCACATACAGATTACAGCTTAGGTGCTCGCTTTGGCAGCACATATACTAAAATTGGAATGATACACAGAAGACTAGCATGGCCCCTGCGCAAGGAGGACATGCAAATTCATGAAGCATTCCATATCTTTTGGGCATTCACTAACTAGATAGTATATAAGAATCATCTTAGGTGAAGGGAAGGACAACACACAATACAGGGAAAGTCAGCACAACTGGACTAAACCAAAAGCTAAGAAGTTTCCTGAATACAGTCAAACACTTTGAGGGACAGAGTAGCAGGGGTAGGGATCTGGGGACCATGGTTTCAGGGGACATCTAGGTCAATTGGCATGACAATGTTTATTAAGAAAATGTTCTGCATCCCACTTTGGTGAGTGGCATCTGGGGTCTTAAAAGCTAGCGGGTGGCCATCTAAGATACATCAATTGGTCCCAACCCACCTGGAGCAAAGGAGAATGAAGAACACCAAAGACACAAGGAAAGTATTAGCCCAAGAGGCAGAAAGGGCCACATAAACCAGAGACTCCATCAGCCTGAGACCAGAAGAACTAGATGTGCCTGGCTACCACCAATGACTGCCCTGACAGGCAACACAACAGAGAGTCCCTGACAGAGCAGGAGAAAAGTGGGTACAGAACTCAAATTCTAGTAAAAAGATCAGACTTAATGGTCTGATTGAGACTGGAGGGACCCCAGGAGACTTGGCCCCCAGACTCTATATTAGCCCAGAACTGAAACCATTCCCAAAGCCAACTCTTCAGACAAAGATTAGACTGGACTATGGGACATAAAATGATACTCGTGAAGAATGTTCTTCTTAGCTCAAGTAGATATATGAGACTAAATGGGCAGCTCCTGTCCAGAGGAGAGATGAGAAGGCAGAGAGGGTCAGGAGCTGGTTGAATGGACACGGGAAATCCGGGGTGGAAAGGAGGAGTGTGCTGTCACATTATAGGGAGAGCAGCTAGGGTCACATAGCAATGTGTGTATAAATTTTTGTATGAGAAACTGATTTGAACTGTAAACTTGCACTTAAAGCACAATAGAAACAAGCAAACAAAAAAGATTACAGCTTAGGAAACCCTATGGGGCAGTTCTATTCTGTCTTATAGGGTCGCTATGAGTTGGAATCTACTGGACAGCGTACACACACACAACCTAGGAGACACAAAACGAAAATTACAGCAGCCCTTTCCTCAACCAGCACACTGTTTATCCAGGGGATGCAAACTCAAATGCCTTCAGGTTCCAGGCAGATAATCACAAATAGGTGAAGCAGGCCTTGTAGGACGAGAAGGAATAGAAGGGGCTATAGCACTGGTGATGCATGCCCTGCCTAAAGGCAATACAAATTAAAACTCTGCTGTTCAAGCAAACACTTCTGGGTGCTGCCAGCCTGCAGCCCTTACAATGTGCCCATCTCCAACAAAGCTGTTTTTGTTGTTTTTAGTTGCTGTCAAGTCAGTACCAAAACACAGCAACCCCATGTGTACCCCCAGCCAACCTTTTGGCTAGTAGTTGACAGCTTAACCATTTGTGCCACCCAGGCCCCCCCCAACCCCGCCCCAACAAAGTAGATAATACAAAGGTTCTAGAGGACAGGTGGGGACACAGTGCTAAAGCATTGTTCCCTGGTATTTTTCTAATAATATTTAGTAGAGTGCTCTGTACAAAGTAGGAGTTCAAACAACACTTCGTTGATGAACTCTTATTTAAAACAAATGGACACTGATTTGACCTAGATAATGTGCTCATATGTACACTTCTCTTACTCACACACATTGTAAATGTTCATTTGTGCATACTATCTCCAGATACACAGCATACCTGTTTTAATAGTTATGATAATTCTGGGAAATAGTTAGGTTCATGGAAAGTGCATTCAGAATTTGCCTTAGTCCTTTAAAGACATGAGTTTTAGCACAAATTCACAACATTCTAGAATGCACTGCTCACCATATCTCAGCCCTGCCGTGACAGGGGCTTTTTGCCTCCAGGAACAAACGGGATACCGGAGTCGGGTGACCAGGCCTGTTGATTAAAAAGAGAAAGATTAGAGCTTTACTGAAGCAACTAACCAAGTTACGTCACCAGGAAAAAATAGAATCTGATACAAAAGCTATTTTTATTCTGAAAAACAAATCCCAAAGCCCAAGCACTTATATCACACCCTCCCTGAGAAGACTCATAAGCACTGGTGGGCACATAATGAAATTCAATGATTTCAAAAGCAGGGTTTTCTAGCGGAAAATACGTGATACAATCAAACACTTGGCATCTTTTTTCTATTTGTACAGTTAGTTATTATTTATGATCAGCTTGTGTGATGTGAAGAAACCAGGTTGGACTTTTGCAACTTCCTCCAAGCTCTCCTGAGAGGGTACCCCTCTGCCTTGACCTCTAGAACTCACCTCCTCCATTGTGTTGGTGGTAATTGATGAGGAGAGGGATGGAATCAAACACATACTTTTCAGCCACGTAGTATCGCTTGGGGTTATCATTTGTTTCTTTGATGTGATAGTGCTTTATACAGGGGTTGTTCTCACTTAAACAAATGAAACGTAAAGGCAGCGATTATTAATAAGCAATGTTTAGACACAAAAATATTTACTGGTTTCAGATCCCTATTAGCTTTGTTTCTCAACCTCTCACAAGGATGGCAGATACATTTCAACTTGTGTGCTAGTCTTGGAAGGTTGCCATGGGTGCCAGAAGTGCTGTGTTATGATGGATTCTGAGGCCGCGTCTGGACTCAATTGTAAACGGTTCTGTGATGGACTGGTGATGCTTCTTCTATGACCACAGAATGGTATTAACACGTGTCGCATATTTGTCTTCTCTGCCTTATGAATATAATTAATTGTCAGCCTATGTTGAGGAAACAGCTCTTGCCCTTTCATGCTTATTTGACTTTGTGCAGAAAAGAATTAACACAGAAGACCTGATGCCGCTGTTCTTAGAGAGACCTGCTTGTAAGGTTATCCCTTGGGTAGTATTTGGAACTTGGATATTGGGAGGGTTCTCTAACTGATAAAAATGGCTCAGTGTGCCTAAACTCTTTTTATAAACAATGTGGCTTATGTTGAACAACTGCTTGCCTTATGGGAGTTTGAGTATGTGCTAGGCAGAGGCTGCCTATGTGACTAGCCCCGGATTAAACCCTGGACACTGGGCCTCTCATGAGCTTTTCTGGTAGACAACATGTCACACATGTTGTTACAATTCGTTGCTTGAGGAATTAAGTGTGCCTTTGGTGACTCCACTGGGAAAGGACTCTCGGAAGCTTATGCCTGGTTTCCTCCAGATTTCACCCCGTGTGCCTTTTCCCTTTGCTGATTATGAGGTGCATTGGCCAGGAATCAAACCCTGGTCTCCAGCACGCAAGGTGAGAATTCTACTGCTGAACCACCACCGCCCTCCAGTAAAAGGCCGGTAGCTTTAGCAGCAAAGCCAGGACTAGAAGTCACGTCTTCTTGCTTGTAGTCAGAAGTATCTTTTCTGCCACTCCATGTATTAAATTACAAACTCCTCAGGACGAGGCATTTTATTTCTTTAGAACTCTGTATGCAGGATGCTAACTGGGTGTCCAGCTGGTGTCCAGCTCCAGCTATGTCACTTTCTAGCTAAGGGACTTTGGTTATGTCTTTAATCTCCCTAGCCTTGGTTTTCTCAGACGAACAGGGAAAACAAACAATTTCTAGTGACCCTCTGACTTTCATATTGTCTGACATTGCTGTGTGTTACCCATCACTCATCCACCTCAGAAGTATCTCTCCCCACATTGCTGAGCTGAGTTAGGATCATACCTTACGATGCCCTTGGTGAAAACAGACACAGTGTATGTTCCTGGAGTCCTGGAATCTCGTACCATAAAGGCTCCTTCTTTGCCCTGGAATGGTTAGGAAGGATGGAAGATTAGTGATCCCAGGAAACCAGGCTTATACACTCAGCTCCACTTTCTTGCCCATAAAAGGAGGAACTAGTGTAGGTCAGCTTGGCATAAAGTAGACTCTCAGTAATAATGACTACTGTTTCATTCATTCATTCAACAAATATTTCTTGTGCTCCTACTACATCAGGTACTGTTCTAGTACTGAGATTAGCAATGAATAAAGACAGACACAAGCTCTGCCCTCATGGAGATCACCATATACCATACTCTTTACAGATATTTTCTAACTCTCATCACGACATTGCAATCTATGTATTACTATCTTCAGCTTACTTATGTGGATACAGAGTTCCAGAGAGTTTAAGTAACTTTCCCACAATCCCACAGCTGGTTAGTGGCAGAGCTGAGATTTGAACCTTGGCATGTCAGCAAAGTCCATGCTCATTCTACTACTCCATGATGCGTCCATTCAACAAAGATTGGAAGACACTCTTTTATCCTCCCAAGGACACAAACTCTGTTCTGGAAGCTTGGTCAGTTCCTTAGTGGGAATATATTTCTCAGACCATTTCTAGACTGCTGATTTTGCTGGAGAGTAGAAGCAGAAACAACATTAAGCTCATGGATGCATGAGAGAGGTGAAGAGAAGGGAGCATGCTGAGAATGTACCCTTTACTACCTTGACAATTTCGCCAGGACTGATGAAATAAGCATAAGTAAATGAATACACCAGTTTATTCAATTCCTAGTGGAAATTTTTAAATCTTAACTCATTTTAAATACTTCATGCCTGACACTGTTCCTACCCAGCTGTAATCCTATGCTGGTAACATTTGCAAAGTCTACTATTACGATTTACTTAACTTTGACAGAATGAGGGCCATATTCCTTTTTACTGCTGAATGATATTCCATTCTATGGATATACCACATTTTGTTTGTCCGTTCATCAGCTGATGGACGTTTGCTTTCTTTCCATCTTTTGGCTGTGGTGAATTTGTGTCTGACTTCTTTTACTCAATATAATGTTTTGTGAGATTCATCCATGTATTGCATGTAGCATGGCTTGTCTTCAAGTGAAGGCCAGAGTTAGACAGGAGCCTTGTGTGCAGGGCACACACCTCTCATACACAGAGCAAAGTATATAAAATCTTGACAAACACAAACATTGCCAACCCCTAGCCCCAAAGAAGGATTGTGTACACGGCAAAAATTGTCCACATAGAGGGTCATACTAGTTGTTTGAATCCTAGAATCTCAGGGTTAGAAAGAACCTTATAGTGATTATCTGGCCCAGGGTTTCTCAGCCTTGGCACTATTGACTTTTTGAGCCAGGTAATTCTTGGTTGTGAGGTGCTATACTGTGCATTGCAGGATGTTTACCAGAACTCCTGGCCTCTGCCTACTGGATGCCAGACATTCCCAAATGTCCCCTGGGGGACAAAATGCCCTGGTTGAGAGCAGGGCTTCAAACTGGTTCCTTCTGGTTAGAACCTGTGCTGAGAATTTTCATTTCTAACAAGTTCACAGGCAGTGGTAATGCTGCTGGTTAGGGACCAATTCTGAGAACCACTAGCAGAGCAGTGGTTCTCAAAATTTATCATACATAAGAATTACCTGGGGATCTTGTGAAAATATAGATTCTGATTCAGTATATTTGGGGTGTGTTATGGATTGAATTGTATCCCCAAAAATGTGTATCAACTTGGCTAGGCCATGATTCCCAACATCGTGTGGTTGTCCACCATTTTGTGATCTGATATGATTGTAAATCCTAACCTCTATGATGTTAATGAGACAAGATTAGAGACAGTTATGTTATTGAGGCAAGACTCAATCTACAGGATTAGGTTGTATCCTGAGTCAATTTGTTTTGAGATATTAAAAAAGAGAATTGAGCAGAGAGGAGAGGACTTCATGCCACCAAGAAAGAAGCACCAGGAACGGAGAATGTCCTTTGGACGTGGGGTCCCTGAGCTGACAAGCTCCTAGACCAGGGGAAGACTGACAACGAGGACATTCCCCCAGAGCCAACAGAGAGAGAAAGCCTTCCCCTGGAGCTGGCACCCTGAATTTGGACTTCTAGCCTCCAAAACTGTGAGAGAATAAATTTCTGTTTGCCGAAACCATCTGCCTGTGGTATTTCTGTTATAACAGCACTAATAACCAAGACAGGGTGGAAATGCAAATTCTCAGAAGGGGTTCTAACCAGTTCAAAGCCCTGGTTGAGAGCCACCAATCAAGTCCAACTCTCTAAACCCCTGTGTACCAAACTTAATCGATCATCACGATTAACTGAAGAATTAAACAACAACAGCAGCAACAACCATCACCACCAGCTGACCTTGCTCCGCCCTAGCACCTGAGCTTTTAAAAGCTTGCCATGTGGTTATTATAGACATCCAGGTTCGGCACCCACTGACTTAACTGGAACGTGCATCTCCTACTTGCAACAGTCCTGACAAGTAGTCTCCCTCCCAAGCCAGCGCTGATAGTTAGAAAGCTCATCCTTGTACAGAGTCATAACCTGCTTCCTGTAATTGGCCCTAATCTACTTTTCTGCGCCCTAGTCCTGCTGGGGGCTTAGGGGAAAATTGACCCTTACATTATTATGCATCTTGCCAAACCTATAGTTGCCACATAACAGACTTTTGAAACTCAAAAGCTCATCTTACCTCTTCTGGGAGTTTCAAGAGTCTATTTTGAAATTCGAAACTGAGACCTGAATCTTCAGGTCTCTGTTGTTGAGCCACAGCCTCCCATCCCCCAAAAGGCAGTGAGCTGGGTCTGCGCTGGTTATGCTTTAGAGTTATTGCTGACAGTTTGATCTCATATAGACAATCATTTAAAAGAGTACAATTCTCATGGCGAACACTCTTTACTAGTTTAGCCAAACGGTTGTTTAGTTTAAAGATGACTCCAGGGGATAATTTCAGTTCATAGTTTGAAGATTTTCTCAGAGTAGTAGATTCCCTATTACCAGCTTTCCTGCCCCCTCCTGCCTTCTTGTCCTTGTCCCTGGGCTGGTGTGCCCATTTAGTCTCATTTTGTTTTATGGGCCTGTCTAATCCTTGGCTGAAGAGTGAATCTCAGGAGCGACTTCAGTACTGAGCTAAAATGGTGTCTGGGAGCCATACTCTCAAGGTTTCTCCAGTCACTGTCAGGCCAGTAAGTCTGGTCTTTTTTTGTGAGTTAGAATTTTGTTCTACATTTTTCTCCAGCTCTGTCCGGGACCCTCTATTCTGATGCCCGTCAGAGCAGTTAGTGGCGGTAGCCAGGCACCATCTAGTTATGCTGGACCCAGTCTAGTGGAGGCTGTAGTATTTGTGATCCATTAATTTGGACTAATCTTCCCCTTGTGTCTTTGGTGAAAGCTGCTTTTGAGGTACAATTTACAGACCATAGAATTCTCACATGTTAAGTGTACACTTCACTGATTTTCAGTAAATTTACAGAGTTGTGCAATCATCACCACAATCTAATTTTAGAACATTTCCATCACTCCAAAAAGAAACCTCAGGCCCTTTTGCACCCCTGCCACACTGATCTACTTTCTGTCTCTACAGATTTGCCTATTCTGGATATTTCATATAAATGGAGTTATACAATTAGCTTCTGTGACTGGCTTCCTGTTACTTAGCATTATGTTTTAAAGGTTGATCTATGCTATAGACGTATCATTCCTTTTAGTGGCTGAATAATATTCTACTGCATGATATAGCACATTTTGTTTACCTATACTGACGGACATCTGGGTTGTTTCTACCTTTTGGCTATGGTGAACAGTGAATTTGTGTCTGGCTTCTTTTGATCAACATCATGTTTGCGAGATTCATCCACGAGTTGCATGGCTTGACTTCAAAGTTTTTGCCTTTTTGCCAAATAATGTAACTTTTGCTCTTGCCTCATTCTAAGGTGATGGGTTAAACTCAAGGCAGGAAGAAACCCAACTTCAGCAGAGGCAGACTTTATCAGAATATGTAACTTATTCTAAAGGGGTAGAAACATAGACCACAAAAACCAGAAGTTTATCAACTGTCTGTGAGGAGGAGAGTGTGAATGTCTCTTCCATTTAATTAAGAATGTTTTGTTACTTTGTTCTTCTTCTTTTAAAGAAGCCATTGTTTTCTGAAAAAATTTATAATCAGAGTGGGGCCCAGTTGTTAATAAGAGTAAATAATTCAGCTCTGCAGGGTATGGAAGGCCCAGCTTCTTTGAAGCACTCTCTTCCTTTATTGTAGTTGCTCTCGACGGCATTCAGCGATAGTGACAGGAAACTCTGGTTTGGGGCAGAGGCAGCCAAGAGTTCTGAGGAAACTAAGGCAGACTGCACGTGCCATACCACCTACTTCCTGCAAGAAGCTCAGAGGAAGTCACAACCACAAAGGACACTGGCGCCTCAGGAGGCACCACTCATACTACTGCCATGCAAGGGGGCACTGACTTGTGGGGTGCAACCAGAGGGTATCCCTCACTGCCTTGGGACATACTCAAGGTCTCAGTTTACCTTTTGCTAGAAAAATTAAAAAGGAACGATAAAAAAAAAAAATCATGCCAAGAGATATAATATATATACCACCCTGGTAGAACAGGAGAACACAAAGTAACTCACATATTCCCTTAATAACTGTGTGCGTGTGTGCGTGTGTGTGTGTGTGTAAAGAATCTTCCTTGCTCTAATTCAGACTATAAAACTGATTCACTCTCTGAACTTGGCCCCAGTTTATCCAACTGTAATACAAAGAGAGATGGACCAGATAATCTTTAAAGGGAATTCTAACTCTAACAGATCAAAATTTTGTGAATTCCTGATGATTCCTAATTAAATGTATGACCTTCAATTTCCTCATCTGTAAAATAATATTTATAAAGTTGTTGTGAGAATTGAAGTGCATAAAACAGTTCCTAGAACATAATACCAGAACAAAGACTGGAAGGGTTATTATTGGCCATTGTTATTACATGGTATGGCATATTATCTGTTGAAAGCATTGATTCTATTGTCTTCCTCCATCTGAGACACGCTGGCGGTATTACGAGTATATTTCTTTCTTTCTGTCTACATCACTTGAAGGTGACATTACAGAAGATAATCTTGACACATAGGGTAGTTTATTGTGAAAAACACTAATGGATAATTCATAGCCTTGTGACACTGCATTATACTTAAAGAGTATCTCTGGCATCTTTCATTCTCGAAGTGGTTCTTTTATTCTCCTAAAATAAACCGGTTATTAAGTCAAAATTGCGTCATTAATAGCATCTCAGAATCACGAGAATATGATAAACCAATGCCCTGAATTTAGGCTCCTGCTTGAAATTCAGGTCATTGAACTTGGGAGGTGCTGCAAGGGCTACTGAGTTACAGAGTGAGGAACTACTCTCACAAGGCATTTACCCTCTACCTAGGTGGGTTAATACAAGAAGAGATTCTCAGCACAGTGAAAACAGTGCCACCGGAGGAGGAATGATATGGAAACATAGGTGTTCAAAGGCGAGAGAAACCACAGTCAATGGTTAGGTAGAGGGAGGGCATGGAAAGCTTCTTGGAAGCAGAAACATAAAAAGAACTGATAGGACTCGTTAGGACAGGTTTTTCACCTTACCCAAACCTCTGTAAGTCCTAGAATCACCTGGGTATCACCCCTAGAAGTTCTGATTGGGTAAGGCTGGCATCCAGGAATCTGTATTTTTTAAATGCTCCCATAATATTGCTTATAATCAGCCAGGCTCTCCTGAAGCTTAATTGTTAATTTAAAAACATTTGTTAAGCATTTGATATATTCATTCATGTATTCAACAAATATTTATTGAGCAACTGCTTTGTGCTAGATAGTTTTGGGTGCTGAGTTACAGCAGGAATGGAGAAATACGTATAGGGCAGTATACTGGGAGCTGTAGTTAATGAAATAATCAATTTCCACCTCCTAAGAGCTCTAGATTTGTTATGTAAGGGGACACTAAATACACTCAGAGTCTCTGGGTGGTGCAAACAGTTAATGTGCTTGGCCACTAACTGAAAGGCTGGAGGTTTGTCTACTCAGAGGTGCCTCAGAAGAAAGACCTGGCAATCCACTTCTGAAAAATCAGCATGCATTGAAAACCCTATGGAACACAGTTCTACTCTGACACACACACATGGGGTTGGCCAGGAGTCAGAGTCGACTCAATGGCAACTGGTTTTTAAACACAGCCATGAAACTCTTCAGCTACTGTTTAAAACAGCATACGAGCAACAGCAAAAAAAAAAAAAAAAAAAGAAAATGCCATTCAGTTCCAGTTCCAGAGAATCTGGCAAGGACGCACTGAAGTTTTCTCTCATATTACCTAAGGAGGAAAAGAGGATTTGATAAAGTAGTCCAGACTGTTAGAAAGGAGTGATGTTTCAACTGCCCTAGCAAGCAAAATGTATTTAAGTGCCTCAAAAAAAACTATTGTAAGAAAGGAATTATCTTTAGCTAGTCATTAATGTGGGCTGTTTTAAGAGCTCCTAATAGATAACACTTCGCTAACTGATGAGTAATTAAATTAAAAAACAAACAAACAAACAAAAAACAAATTGCACTTGTTTAAACACAGTCTAATTCAGCTTTTTAATTAATTTTGCACTCCCCTCAATTAGTCCTTATTAGTTAACTTTTACTGTGGCATCCAGTAATAGTATAGTAATACAGGTTGGGGGTCTAGGTGCTGGACTGGCTACATATGGAACATAGGTCTGACTTGTAAAAAAAAATGCCAATTCCCAGGAATTAACTCTGGAGATTCTGATTCTGTAGGTCTGGGTGGGATCTGGGAATCTCTATTTTTTTTTTTTTAATTTCCCTGTGATTCTAATGTGTGGTCTATTGGGAACCACAGGAAACGATTTAAGTGCTGAGTCGTGATGGAACCAAACCAGAGCCCTTTCCAGCTCAGTTTGCCTGCCTCCATGAAGTCTTTCTTAATTCCTCTAGAGGTTCTCTGAACTCCATTTCTGGGCCTGTCCCATATGCTCATAGTTTATCTTAGGTTATCCTCTAACTCCTTCTTCAGAGTTTGTCTTGTTTCCCAATAGAGTTTAAAGCTCGTTAAGGGCAAAGATCCCGTCTTAAGCACCCCAAAGTGCCTAGACCTGTGCTCAGAAAAATGGCAAGGTGCTTGAGTTGATGCTGAGAAATCCTAATAAAGGAAATGGGCAGACCTGCCATGACTGAGAATAGATACTAACACACAGATGAGATACAGAGACTGCCTCTTTTGCAGGTGTCACAGGTAAACACACAGGATGTTGTGGAGAATCCGTAAGCATTGAACTTGTTCTCTTTGCTGAGAACAAGCTGCCCAAGGTCAGAACACCCTGCCTGGCCTCTCTGCCAGTTGCCAGCTAATCAATGACTTATCCAAAGAGAGAAAAAACAAAGCTCACTGCTCCTAAATATGGTTTTTCCTTTTCCCTTTCCCTTTTCCTCCTGTAGGAACCCTGGTGATGTGATGGTTAAGCACTCGTCTGCTAACTGAAATGCCAGTGGTTCAAACCCATGAGCCACTCAGCAGGAGAAAGATGTGGCAGTCTGCTTACATAAAGATTACAGCCTTGGAAATCCTATGGGATAGCTCTACTGTGTTCTATAGGGTCGCTATGAGTCGGAATCAACTCGATAGCAACACGTTTTCCTCCTATAGAAATTACGTTTTTGCCTTTGATAGATGAAATCAATTTATTGCTAGTTTCTCTTGTACAAAGTAAATAGCATGCTAATAATTAACTACTGTATATGCCTTTGACTTATTCTTTGGCAGTATTCATCACCTTTCCACCTTCCCATCACAGCTTTTCACTCCTTTCCTGACATCCTCCCATGTCCCTTTCTCTAAGGCTCACCCATTGCCACTAGCCAAGGTATGAAAAAAAAGAAAAAACCTACTTGCTGTCGAGTCAGTTCCAACTCGTTATGACCCCGTGTGTGCCAGAGTTGAACTGTGCTCCATAGGGTTTTCAATGGCTGATTTTTCAGAAGTAGATCACCAGACCTTTCTTCAGAGGAGTCTCTGGGTCGACTTGAACCTCCAACCTTTCGGTTAGCAGCTGAGCATGTTAACTATTTGCACCACCCAAGGAATCCGTCCAAAGTAATGGTTACTGGAAAATCCTGTCATTTGCTAGTTCTGTAAATCCCCAGATCATTGTCACTAAACATGACAACCACTGTTAATCCAATATATCAACCTACACTACATTCACATAAACCACAGCATGACTGAAAAAAAACAGCACAGTTCATTTTAAGTCGAAAGAAAAGTTAAGGAGACTTACTGTGTCCAATAGAAGTTTTTCAGCTTTGTCACGGTTGATGCTCTTATTGTACCACCTGAAAGCAAGAAAATGTCATGTGTCAATGACACTTTTTAAAATTCCATTATATGCGTATAAAATACAATGCTGGAAAATCATTTGGTCATTTTCTGTTTCTACCAAAGCTTTTAAGCTCAAAGCAAAGGCATGACACTTTTACATGTAATAAAATTTTTAATTGGTGGGGAACAGATGAAACAGGACTGGCAAAATATTGATAATTGTTGAAGCTGGGTATTGGGTATTCTCTCTACTTTTGTGTATGTTGGAAATTTTCCATAATAACATTTTGAAAAACATTTATCTTCTCCATTTTAGAATTCAGAGGGTGGTTATAAGTAGGATGATGCTAGGGCAGCTATAAAAATTTAATACAAATTTGAAAGTTTAACAAATATCCTTTTACAACAATTGTAGTATTTTCCTCTTTAAGACTGGTCTTCAAGAACTTCTGCAAAGTAATTACATTATTTTTTAAATTTTTGAGGTCTGGTGAAAAACAATAAAAAGTGGTAGATAAAAATATGAATGATTTTGGGAGATGAAGGTTTATTTATTTTTATTTCCCCTAAAAATACTAGAGCCACCATCCTGGTCTCCCTAGATATTGGTTAGGTCAAAGGAGATAGAATAATCATCAGTTAATAATCCATTTTCGAAATCAATAAATCTAGGAGAGAAGTTCTTGTTGGGAAAGAGTACCCATTGCCATTAAGCTGATTCTGACTCATAGCAACCCTACAGGGCAGAGCAGAACTGCCCTGGAGGGTTTCCAAGGAGCAGCTGGTGGATTCAAACTGCCAACTTTTGGTTAGCAGCCAAGCGCTTAACCACTGCACCACCAGGGGTATGGGGAAGGAATACCACTTATCAAACTTGTTTAGCTATTTGAAAGTAGTACTGACTAAGGGAATTGGTGGATTCACCTGAGCTTTTTGAACATTCTACCAGAAAGAACTGGTTCAAATCCCTGCTGAGAATTTGCATTTCTAACAAGTTCCCAGGCGATGCGAAAGCTGCTCCTTAGGGACCAGTTCTCAGAACTACTAGTAGAAGAGTGGTTCTCAAAAATTTATTATAAATAAGAATCACCAGGAGATCTTGTTAAAATGTAGATTCTGATTCAGTATATCTTCATTCTACAGAAGAACAGTATTTTACACTTGAAAGGACTCTTAAGAGATTATCTAGTTGAGGGCTGGCCAATTTTGTTTTGTTAGGTGCCGTTGAGTTGGTTCCAAGTCATAGCAACCTTATGCACAACAGAATGAAACCCTGCCCTGTCCTGCACCATCCTCATAATCATTGCTATGTTTGAGCCCATTACTGCAGCCACCACGTCAATCCATCTCACAGAGGGTCTTCTTCTCTTTCGCTAACCCTCTATCCTACCAAGCATAATGTCTTTCTCCAGGGACGGGTCCCTCCTGATAACATCTCCAAAGTAAGTGAGATAAAGTCGCGCCATCCTCGCTTCTAACAAGCATTCTGGCTGTACTTTTTCCAAGACAGAATTGTCTGTGCATCTGGCAGTCCACGATATTATTCAATATTCTTCACCAACACCACAATTTAAAGGCACCAATTCTTCTTCAGTCTTCCTTATTCATTGTCCATCTTTTGCATGCATATGAGGCAATGGAAAACACCATGGCTTGGGTCAGGCGCACCTTAGTCCTCAAGGTAACATCTTTGCTTTTTAACACTTTAAAGAGGTCTTTTGCAGCAGATTTGCCCAATGCAATACGTTGTTTGATTTCTTGACTGCTGTTTCCTCGGGCATTGATTGTGGATCTAAATGAAATGAAATCCTTGACAACTTCAATCTTTTCTCTGTTTATCATGGTTCTGCTTATTGGTCCAGTCATGAGGATTTTTGTTTTCTTTATGTTATGGTGTAATCCATACTGAAGGCTATAGTCTTTCATCTCCGTCAGTAAGTGCTTCAAGTCCTCTTCTTTTTCAGCAAGCAAGGTTGTGTCATCTGCATATTGCAGGTTGTTGAATGAGTCTTCCTCCAATCCTTATGCCTCATTCTTCTTCATATAGTCCAGCTTCTCGGATTATTTGCTTGGCTGGCAAATATACTTCATCATATTCAAACTGTAATCCATGAGCAGTGGCTGCCTTGAGCTGTGCGTTGAAAAGGATCTTGAGGTCAAGTCTGGGCTCAGTAGGTAAAAGAGTATCAATATCTAATAGCGCTGTCTACCCTGAGTTCAATACAAGGGGAGAGAATGCCATCAAGAGCCACAATTTGCCTTCCTTTATCCTGTCTGATTTTTCATCTTACGGAAAAGGGATCTGAGAGCCAACAGATGAGGTCCCTTGCCCAAGGTCGTAACCCCAAACAAAGGCCTGTAACCCGTTGCTGTCAAGTTGATTCGAACTCACAGCCACCCTACAAAGGCAGGAGAACTCAATCCAATCAATTTAACAATCCATAATTATGTGCCAGGTTCTCACACAGATATCACTTGAAAGTAGACAACATTAATTTCAAGGCTAAAAAGTCATCATGCTGAGCATTTTTTATATACCTAGAAGTATACTAAATATCCGGATGTTTGCTTGTAAATTATTTTACTCTCTAGCTGTGATTTCATAATCTAGAGAATGCAAACTAATAACAGGCAGAAAAATAGGCCTAGAAACTGTTTTGTTTGTATAATGTGGTGTTTTATTTTCGAAAATGACTAAGAATATCTTTAGATAAGGGTATATGCTTTTGAGTATATACTTGTTATTTGCCCCATGTCCCACCATTCTCTACTGCATTATATTCAGAATTTTGAGTTTGCCCCCTCTATTATAAAAAAAGAGACTCTGATGAAAACAAAAATAAATACAACCCAAAACTTCCCAGATTCTTAGTGGACATTTGAAATAAATGCCTACTTATTTTCTAGAGACATTTGGAATAAAAAAATAATTTTATTTACACATATCTTATATATGTTTCATTATGAAACTCGGTGTACCGACTATACCTCATTTCAGCTCAACTATTCTTAGAACTGATGACTTTTCTGTTAGCTGAGGGAGGGGCTATGCACACATACTTGGACCAACTTTTTTTCAAAATGAGTGTCAGGTGAAAGACTTTTCAGAAAATGACAGCTCTTCATTACCGAATCTATTAGAATTTCAGCAACTTTTTTTTTATTGTTGAAAATAATATACAGCAAAACATATATCAGTTCAACAGTCTCCACATGTACAATGCCACTTGACCACATCTGAACTACTGAGAATTCTATTGAGTTAATAGAAGTCCTCATTAGCTAGTATTCTTCAACCCTGGTATCTTTGGTGAGTACTAAGCCAATTTTTGTTATTTTGAAATAATTCCAAACTTAGAGAAAAGTTGTAAAATAGTATAAAACAATTGCTGACATTTTGCACATTTGCTTTGCTAGTCCCTCTAGATAGATATATAGACATATAAACAGGCAGAGGCATATATACATACATAAAGACATTTTTTTCTGAACCATCTGAGAGTAGATTTTTTTCTCTCTCTAATGATCACATAGTATTTAATGGACGCACCATACTTAACCAATCCCCTGCTTTTTTGGAGAGAAACACTTAAGTTGTTTCCAAAAATAAACTTTGAAACAACTATTTTAAAAAATAACATTTCTGCTCCCTGAGGGCAAACTTAACTTATAAAATAAAATTTGAGCCTTTATGGTTTCTCAACATTTATTAAACACACACAAAAGAATTGGAATAAACTTTTAAGGTGAAGAAAGTTAGAAAAACAAATGGAATTTTTGTACCTAAGCAATTATATTTAGAATCAAAAAATTTCTTCAACTCTGGAATGCTTCTACTGAATTCCTAACTGACCACATCACACTATACTGGCTAACATTCACACATAAGAGGCAATTCTTTTCCTACCCTGAATATTCACACACTTTTATCCTAGGCAGATGGATGTTGTGTACATTGAAGAGAAAATTGTTACAATAGCCATAACGATTTTTATACTGAAAAGGCGATCATTCTCTAGAATTTATAGTAACACGAGTCCACTACCATCTACTTAGTAAATAATAGTACTCTTTGGTAATAATCATTTTTTTTATTCAGTGCTTGAGAGTAGATTTTTATCCTAAGTACTTCAGTGTGTATTTACTAAGAAATAAAACATACTCACATAACCACAGTACAGTTACCAAAATCAGGAAATTTAACGTTGATACAATACTATTACCTAATTTCAGATCTTATTAAAATTTTATCAATTGTCCCAATAACATTTCTGAAACAATTCTTTTTTTTTTTTCAATTGTTCAAGCTCCAGCCTAGGAATACCAGTGCATTTAGCTGCCAAGTCTCTTTAGTCTCTCCTTTAATGTGAACCAATTTCTCAGGCTTTCCTTCTTCCGTGATATTAGCATTTTTGGAGGGCATGGGCCAGTTATTTGGTAGGATATTTCTCAATTTGGATTGATTTGCTATTTCCTCCTGACTCAATTCGGATTATGGACTTTGGACAGGAATATCACAGACGGGATGTCATGGCCTTCTCGGTGCATCACACCCGGAGACACATGTTGTCTGTTGGTCCCACTGTTGGTGATGTGAACTTGGTCATTTGGTGAAAATGGAGTCTACCAGCTTTCTCCACTTTATAATTATTATGTGATTTGTTCGGAGATACTTTGAAGCTATGTAATTATACTGTGTCTCATCAAACTTTCACTCCCTAGTTGTAACATCTAGTATTAAATGATTCTTACCTGAGTCGGTTGCTACTTTGACTTCAAAAATAGTGATTTTTAAACTTTACAATTCCTTCTAGATCCATTGATTGGCATTCTATGTAAGAAAGAGCTTTCCTTTCTTACTTGTTTACTTACTTATTGATCTATATATTTATTATGGATTCTTCTTTTATTCAATGGATTGTAGTCTATTACCATCATTATTTATTTTGATACTCAAATTGTCCCAGATTTGGTTAGTGGGAGCCTCTGAAAGCCAACTTCTGAGTTTGTTTGATATGCCCACATCATTTTTTTTGAGTATGTCCTTATTTTCTGTCACAAGATGACCCAGGTTCATCTTGTTCTTTCCCTTACCTAACCCTGTATCCCCTAAGCCATTGCTCCAAGAAGTCTCTCTTAAGTGGAAAGTGTTACTTAGAAACCAACATCTGGGTGCTAGGTGTGAGCATTGCTACTGCTGTATTATTACTTGGGGGCCCTTCAGCAGCTGAGCTAGGAAATGAATGTACATGGTGAATACATTGTATACCACAATTGAATTTTATTAAACACTCAGTAGTTCCATTAAGATTATATCCCTGTGAACTCTTCTAAATGATAGCTTGGAAATAAACAGCACAATATAAGCAGATATTTAATACCTATTTGTTTGCCTATTATTTTGTATTAGAAGCATTGTGGTTAACCATTATTTTAAATCTCTTTATATTTAATCTAGTGGTCACAGTGCTAGTCCTTCTCAAGTGAGACTGATATTCTTGGGATTCCCAGTAGGACCTTTCCCTTTTACCACAATCTGTTCCCCTTTGATAAAAGGGGATGTGAGTACCCATACCCTTCCCCTCCTCTTATTTAAAGTTCACCTCTCCTGCTTATTTAGGTGGCAGAGAATGAGGAAGAAGAAAGTGAATCAAGAAAAGAAAAGGCTTAACATTTTCATAATCAACCTATAATTTACTCCTAACCTAAAAACCCAAACCCGTTGTTGTCAAGTTAATTCTGACTCGGTGACCCCATGTGTTACAGAGTAGAACTGTACTCCGTAGGGTTTTCTTGGCTGTAGTCTTTGTGGAAGCAGACCACCAGGCCTTTCTTCCATGGCACCACTGAGTGGGTTTGAACCTCCAACCTTTAGGTTAGTAGCCAAAAGTAAACCATTTGCGCCTCCCAGGAATCTCTCCTAACCTAAGGCATATCATACTTTTGGAAAACAAATAAAATAATCTTACTCATAGGTTTCCAGGTTATTTGGAGATTTTTCCACCAGATAACTGCTTGGTACATATCCTTCATGCCTGTTAAAAAGGAAATTAGTGTTTAGGTTAATTAGACCTGATTTTCACATTTTTGTTTTACAGATTTAATCCACTGAAAGTTAAAGATGTGGAAGTCTCACATCATTTGGCATTAGTAATAACATACTTCAAAGTTTTAGAATAAAATAACTGGTAAAAATAATAACAACCTGCTATCTGTTAAAGGCAAGAGACTTCACCACTAATAATACGAACCATAAAAATAAGAAATGGCTATTTTATTTTAAAAGCTCAGCTTGCTGCTCTCCACATTGTGAAGTTTCCTGTACTGGAAAAAAAAGATTAATGTTCAGTCTCTATTTTCTATAAGGAAACATTTTTTTATGTGTGATAATCAGTATTTTTTCCACTTTAGTGCCATCATTTTATAGTCGAGAAACCAAAGTAATTAAAATATAAAAAACTACTTTCCAACCACAGGTCGTAAAAGATGCTACCAGTCGATAGTGTAAGCTTTTTAACTCAGGGCCTCTCTAATAGTTTTGGTTAGTTAAGCTTCTTCAGATATAAATGGTATAAATATGAGAAAATAGGATGAAGTCAGGCTGAATTTGTGGAGGCGTCACTTTTGAGCAAGAATTAATAACTCTGCATAAACAAAGAAGCATAGATAGAGACTAATCAGAATAGCGAAATACTTTATATTCGTGCGTAACTTTGTAGTTTTCAAAGCACTTTCACATTCATTGTCTCATTTAATACCACAAGGTGAGAGCGCTGTCACTTCCGCTCTCTGGGCCTCTGACTTTGTACCTGTAAAAAGAGGAACCTAAACTGGATTATCACTAATTTGGACTCAGCCAATCTACAAAAGAATGCCTAATAGTTTCTTGCTTCTTACTCCATAAACTGTTTTAACTGTTTTGCAGAATAAGGCAATTTCTCAGCCTAGTGATTATGTTTAATGGGGAATGTGTAATGTATGTCAATGAGTGGTTTTGAGGGGTGAAGAAATCAAGAACAGAGATTCCAACACAGGATAATTATCTTGTACCTTGTGCCCGTGGCAGACATTGCCAATCTATCATGGCACACTTTCTTTGGAGATTTGGACATTGGGCCTCAGAATCATCCTTATGATGGTACCCAAGGCAGCCACTGCCAATTGATGGGAGATAGCATGTTTGAAAATTATTGGCCATTCCTTCTGTAGCTCTCTTTTGGAATTCCCCTTAGTTACGCCTCTCTTTGCCATACCATGTGTTTACAACTATATTAATAAAAAATATTTTTGCTTTCAAATAGAATTACTGTGTTTTAATACACCAACTAAAGCTGGGTTATCAACACAAATGATAATAATTCTTTTCACTTGTACATGATATAGAATTTACGAAGCCCTTTCACTTCCATCATCTCATTGATGTTCTCAACACTGTGAGATAAATAAAGCTGATATTGTCATTTACATTTTGCAGATAAGGAAATGGATTCACTGAGGTTAAGTGACTTGTCCAAAGCCATATACAACAAGAGTGACTGTCCAAGTATTAAAGTCCAAATCTCCTGTCTCCCCGTCTCGTGTACTTTCCACCATACCGCACTATTACAAAGCAACACTGGGAAATTCCCACAATGCAGATTGGCCTCTGAGGTGTCCTCTTTGATGCTCTTTGAAGTGCCAAGAGTTAAGCCTTTCCACAGGCCACTGTTCAAAGGGTAAACTGTCATTTGGGGAAGTAAGAACTAGGAAAAGAAATTTCCTGGCACATCAGCGGTACTAAATGTCAGTTGATTGAACTGGTGAATTTCTTTTTTTTTAAACTGGTGAATTTCTGCGTAAGTTTCTTTGGTGTTTGTAGATCCAGGCAGCCTGGAGTTTGCTCCTGATATGGGTCTGCCCAGAAAGGGCAATGAGACGGTCATGTGACCAGCCTAATTTGCCTCCAGGAGTGAGCTGGAGAGCAAGGCTCTAGATCAGGGTCTTTGGGGTCTGTTCTTAGCTACCAGGCTCTACTGCCTCCCAAACAGTTCTTGATTTAATCACACATTACCCAGCCCCCTCAAAATGTAAATTTTGGTGTACGTAAATGTAAAGTCTTAACCTTAAAGATATTTATACCCCGAAAGAAAAATAAAATTAAAAAAAGATATTTGCACCCCTTTTTAAAATCTCTCAAATTGGCTTTTTTTTTTTTTTTAAATATTTAATGATACTCAGTATTGGTGAGGATGTAGCAAAATAGGCACTTCCATAAACCTGTCGGTGGATATGAAAATTTGGCAATCTTTTTGAGGGAATTACCTATAAAAATGAAGATACCATATACTCAGATTCAACAGTTACAGAGTTAGAAATATGTCCTGTAGATAAATATATATTCTCAAAAGACTGCCAAGATACATGAGCAAAAGATCTTCATTTCAGGGCCTTGATTGAAATAGCAAACAAAGAAAACAAAGCTGGAAACTTCATGTCCCACAATGAAAGATTGCTTAAAGATTTACAATACAATCATACATTCTAATACTATGCAAATCTTTAAAAAATGGGATAGGTCTGCATGTGCTGATGTGAAAAGATTCTCAAGATACATCATTAATGGTTAAAACCAAAATGAAGAGCAGGAATGTAGGCTTAGCGTGTAAATGAAAAAAGGGTGTATTTGTATATGAGGAACCTGGGGGCACAGTGGTTGAAGCACTTGGCTGCTAACCAAATGGTCAGAGGTTTGAACCTACAGCTGCTCCTCGGTAGAAAGATGTGGCAGGCTGCTTCCGTAAAGATTACAACACTGGAAACCCTGTGGGGCAGTTCTACTCTGTCTTATAGGGTCGCTAAGAATCAGAATCGACTCAAGGTAATGGTTTTTTTGAATTTGTATATGAATAACTTTTTTTCCAAGGATACACAAAAAAGAGTTAATAGTAATTACTTTTGGAATTGATGTGGGGAGGAAGGAAGATGGCTTATTTTTCATGTATGTTTCTTTGTACTGGTAGTATTTTTTTTTTTTTTTAAATAAATTACCGACATAGGTATCCAGATGTTGCAATGATGGGACATTTTCTTTTTCTTTTTATATTTTTAATTAATAATAACCCCATACTTTAAAAATGTTTTAAACCTTTAATATTAACATACAAGGGTGTTCACTGCAGTGTTATTAATATTTGCAAAATATTAAAAACAATCAAAATACCAAACAAGAGGGAATTTGTCAAATTATGGTATATTTATATGCTGGATTTATGCAGTCATTGAAGTTATATTCTGGAGAATATTTTAGGGCATGGGTACATGCCTCTCTTATATTGAGGGAAAAATGTTACAGTGTGAATCTGATGCATTTCAACTAGGCACTGGTATCAAAGTCATATACATCCCAGAGCATTCTAAAGGTTAATAACAGTAATTATGTTGTATTTCACATTAGGTAAAGGCTCATATGATTTTTCTATTCAAGAATTCTATAGTGGTCAGTTAATATTTGCACAAGTTTACTTTCTCCATGAACCATTTGGATGGCTAGTTCAATGACTGTGATTGTAACTAAATCTTACTATCTTCTTTTTGATACTTCTTAAAGTATCCAATCTGTGCCATTTCTATGTGCCTTTCTTCCCACCAAAATAAGCTCTTCACAATGGGATGTACCTTCATCCTCACTTAAACACTCGAGAATAATAATGTTTTGCCAAAAAAAAAAAAAAAAAAGTCACCATTCTCCCAAACTGTGGATGTCAGTGGAAAAACCCAGGGGGTTTTTAGATAAGAGTGCTTAAGATGGGGTACAGGGAGTAAGCATAGCAAGTGACTGCCTCCCAGCCACTTCTGAGAAGAGGTAAAACTCCCCTCAGCTACTTCCTCTTCCTCCCTCTTTCTTCTACCTCGGTTTTCCTCTCCTAACTCAGTGTAGTGATCATGCTGAGAGAAGTAGCATCCATCATTCCAGTGTTTTCTTTTTCCCTACCACACATCAAACCCTGGAACAGTAACCACCAGTTGCCATCGAGTCATCTCTGATTCATGGCAATCCCATGTGTGTCAGAGCAGAACTGTACTCCATAAGTTTTCAATGGCGGATTTTTCAGAAGCAGATCACTAGGCCTTTCTTCTGAAGTGCCTCTGGGTAGACTTGAACCTCCAACCTTTCAGTTAGCAGCCAAGCGCATTAACTGTTTGTACTACCCAGGGACTCCACAGTCACCACAGAAGCTCCTTACCCGTTCCTGTCCTGAACTCTCCACCAATGAATTTCAGAACTGTCCAGCAGGTAGTATTCTTCATTGCGGCGAAGTGTGAGTTCCTGTGGGTCATTTGTTTGGTAGTCATACAAGGCAATGACCAAGGTTTCCTCAGGTTCCTGAAGTGACCGCTGGGTGAGGGAGACAACAAAATCAAGCAAATATACAAAAAGGAGGCAAAATGCAGAACAAGGTTAGCAAATCCTTGCGCTGTTACTTGCTCCTGAGTCTATGCCAGATCAACACACCAGTTTCTATAATCCACTGGGATATTCACTGAAGCAATCTCGCTTCTTCTAGTTGGCTCTCTTTATGAGTTAGGATTACACTGCTGAATATGAGACAAACACAATAAAGAGCTGGATTCATCGCCCCTTTCCTTCTGCGAGGTAAATTCTGACTGCAGTGAATTCCAGGCAGTCACACGCTTTTCTCAAGCATCTGCTGCTTTCTGTACGTGTACCATGTCACACATCACAGGCTGTCTGCCGGACACATCACATTCTGGGGGAAGATGATGCAGTCTATATTAAATCGCTCAGTTGATGCTTTGCTGATTTGATTTGTGGGTTGTCTAGCTCAGTAGAATTATAGATTATTGGAGCTAGAATGCCTGTGAAAGATCATTTAATCCAACTCATTTTGAATGGGTACACTGAGGCACAGATGGGGAAATGGATGTGGCCAAGTTTAGAGCTTGAATTAGTCTCAATGCCTTCTCCACTAAAGTGCATGGTCTCCCTTCTTTCTCTTGTGGGCATTCTTTTACCCAAATCTCTACTCCTAAGTATCTTCCTTAGGACAAGATATTGAGGACATGAAGAAGAGACTGTAAAGCAAACTGTAACAAGATTTCAGGATGGGCATACTTGCTACGGGTTGGCATGTTTTTTAAAAGGGTAACTATGGGAAGAGATTGAGATTGCTGGCCAAAATGTGATTTATCTGAGTACATTGCAGCATTTGGCAGCATAAAAATAATGAAGCTAAAAAAGAAAAGCCTTGTCATACTTATGTAGTATGTCATCCTAGCTGAGCCCAGACTGGAATGTGAAGTCCAGATATTTGTGGAGCTTTTGAAGTGGTGGTGTCTTGCGTACCTACAGACATGAGTCAATGGGCCTGCAGCTTTTGTTCTAAGAGCTAATAGAGGGAAGAGTTGCATTCCAGGACACCTGAAGAAGATAGAGGGAAATGGATTGGTATCCATCTCAACTAACTGATTCATCCCTCTGAGCAGGAGGGTCAGAGCAGCAATTCTCAAGTCATGGTGGTACCATCACATAGGGGACATTTTGGACATCTTTGGGAGTGTTCTGAACGTCACAGACATTGAGGTGTGCTAATGCCATTTAGTGGGTGATGGCCAGGAATACAAAACGTACGGCAGTGTCCCATATCCTGTACAACTTTTGAATGTCCTGTTTGACCAAAACCAAAACCAAACCCGCTGCCATCAAGTTGATTCCGACTCATGGCAACCTCACATGTTTCAGAGTAGAACTGTGTTCCATAGGGTTTTCAATGGCTGTGATTTTTTTGAAAGTAGATTGCCAGGCCTTTCTTTTGCGGCACTGCTGCAAACCACCAACCTTACGGTTAGCAGGCAAGCACAAACTGTTTGCACCACCCAGAGACCTTTCCCTGTTAGACAGTCATGTGGTAAGAAACATGTTTATGATAATAATATATAATAATGATCTGAGCCTAGATCCTACCTCTACCCTATACAAAGTACTGGGTTTTCCAGGAATACAACTACCTTGTGCATTAAGGGAATATTATATTTGGTTTAGTTTCCCAAATTTCAGTTTAGTATGGTCTAGTTACTGAACTTTACCAAGAATTATTCACCATTTGGAAAATCATATCACAGATGGTGACACTGTGTTTGAGTCACTGATACAACATCCCTGTATCAGTCTACATTTGCGCTGGCAAATTCACTGGAATTCTACCTACAAGTGCATGCAATCAACTATTTCATTATATCTTCCAGTACAGTCATGATCCAGTATTTATATATAGAAATATATATTATTTTATGCAAATTATTTTCCTTTATTTATTTGAGTACTTAACCTGGTTTATTTTTTAAATTACAGAGACAGCATTTATTGATTTCTAGAAATCAATAAATGGTAAGTTATATTATATCTGAATTTCTTTTCTGGATAATAAAAGGGGATTTGTAAAGTATTTGTTACAAAAAGGGGGCATTGGGTCTGATAGGGTTGGGACTCACTAGATTAGAGTGCGAAAATGGAAGGACAGCGTTTGGTGAGACTGTGAGACTCTGGGCTCAAAAGGGCTGGTTGTGGCTCAGGTGATAAGGGGAGGGAGGGATAGATGAGAGGCCTGTCTCCCAGCCACTCTGCTTCAGGCCTCAGAACAGCCCTGGCCTCTAAGAGCTTCGCCTGGTCTTGGCTGGAGAGAGCTCCACTGAGCTGAGAGAGGCTTTCCCAGAGAGTTCAGGTAGCAATGGCAGGGATAAAGTGTGTTAACAGGAAGGCAAGAAGAAAGGACAGAGACAGGCATGTTCCTGAGTGGCCCCTCAGGAAACCAAGATTGGAAGAAGCCTTGAAGGAGAAGCTGAGTTCCCAGGTATGTAATAGGGGCCAAGAGGAATTGGAATTTGGGCTTCAATGTGCACATGATCTTGTTTTCATCCATAGGCTAGAGGCCTGAAATTGTCAGTTACACTGATCATGGATAGTGTCCATCCTGACCAAAAAAGAGCCGCCCTCACCCTTTGGTGAGCTGATCCTATCCCACTGTCTCCTCCACATGGAACGTTAGGCCTGTTAGCTTAGATCTTGGATTAAAAATCTAGCTTTTCTATACGCCAACCCAAGATGCCATCACCACTTAGGGGACGGAACAAGAAGGTGAAGAGAGAAATGTATTCCAGTGGCTCAAAGTAAGAGAAACATTGAAATGGATGTGTGGTTGAAACCAAAACAGTAATTCTAAAACCCTTGTGGTCAGAATGTTAAAAACAGTATCAACACTGCTTCTTTAAGAAGTCTGAAAATCCAGATGACTTGGACTGAGGAAGAACAGACTGGCAGCATTTTCTGTCTTCCCCTTTCATTTATGCCGAAAAGAAGATGAGAGCAGACTGGGTTAAGATCTAGAGGTGTGGATTTAGGTGAGACTGGGGAGGAACCAACTGTAAGCCAGGGCAGTGGGATCCCAAACCATATGTCCAAGGAAGGTAGGGAAATGTTCTTTAGATGATCAATGAAAGAAGAGGGAAGAGAGCTCATTTTCTGCTACAGTTCACATACATTTCTTTCCTCTTGCTGGGGGTAGGCTGATGACAGATCTAATAACCAGCCCAAGGTGTTGAGGATTCTGAGCCTATCTGCATGGGGAAGCTGCCAGATTTAAAATTTCATCATGTCAGCAGAAGGGAAAAAAAGCAAAGCTCATCCTTCAGGAAGAAGCATCAGGAAGTAGAATCAGTAGGTTCTGCAATAAAGGGCAAGTACTCAAATGTGGGGAGTTCCTGGGTGGTACAAATGGTTAATATGCTCAGCTGCTAACCAAAACGTTGGCGGTTCCAGTCCACCCAGAGGCACCTTGGAAGAAAAGCCTGGTGATCTACTTCTGAAAGATCAGCCATTGAAAACCGTTCTACTCTGACACACCTGGGGTCACATGAGTTGGAGTCGACTCCACGGCAAATGGTCAACTCAAATGTGGATACTGGCGTCAATATGACCACAAAGTGAAGGCTGATCCTTCACTCTCGTATTTATTTTTTTCTCATTGACAGAATAAGCTTCCCCAGAGTAGATTGTACATTGTCTAAGTAATGGAACTCAGTATACCATAGGCCAATGGTTCTCAAACTTGAGCGTGCCTCAGAATTGCCTGGAGGCTTATTAAAACACAGATCCCTGGGCTCTATCCCTAGAGTTTTGGATACAGTGGCTCTCAGAAGGGGCCTGAGAATTTGCATTCCAAACAAGCTTTCAAAAAAACCAAAACCAAACCTGTTGCTGAGTAGTACTGCCCCAAAGGGTTTCCAAGGAGTGGCTGGTAGATTCGAACTGCCAACCTTTGGGTTAGCAGCCTGATCCCTTAACTATGGTGCCATCAGGGCTCCAAACAAGCTTCCAGGTGATTCCAATTCTGCTGGTCCATGGACTACCATTTGAGAACTACCACTAGAGTGAAGACCACCACACCAGATACTCTGCATCCTACTAGCTTTACCACTAAGTTGCTGAGCGGCCTTGGACAAGCCTCAAAACCTCTCTTGGGGCTTCATTTCCTAAACTTTAAGATAAGAATAAAACTATAACCCTTTGAAAGGGGCAGAAGAGGGAGTATTGAACTATAATAACGGTGGAACTGCTTTAAAAATGTAAACTATTATTGAACGCTTGCCTTCAAACTGTTTATACGTCAAGGTATAGAGTAAATACACAACTTTATAAAGACATGAGCCATTTTTTCACCCCAAAGTGGTCATGTGGCTAGGCACACAGCTTGATATCAACAGCTGTTTGTCGAGTGAATAAAGTGAGGTGGAAATTTAGCAACTGATTGGTCCTTTTACGTGGACAGACCGATGAGACAATTCAGTCCCAAGATACCCAATGTGTTGAGTTCAACTGAGTCACGACTTCTGCTACGTTGACCCAGGCTCTGAGAGATATGGCAGACAGAGGGGAAATGCGAGTGGGAACATGCTAGTCGAGCAGCCTGCAGCACCGTGAGCCCCCCGCCCCCCGCCCCGCATCTGGAGCTTGAGAGCTCACTCACCCTGTTATCTTCAGGAGTAGGAGGAAGAGGCTTCTTTGAAGCTGAAACAAGAAAAACAGAAAAAGAAAATGAGCATGAAACTACACGAGCCCAGCCGGAGGTGAGCAGCCAGGGGGGCTTTTCAGAGAAAAGGGGCCTCAAGGAGAACAACACAAGAAAAGGGGCCAGAAGGAGAAGATGAGACACAGAGAAACCAGAATCGGCATGGTTAGAACCTGTGATTAATTTCTTTCAGCCTGCTGGTTCCTGATTCCTTTTTCTAGGAGATACTGGAAACTTCCAGAAGTCAACATTCTCGGCCTCTCCCTTTCTGTATCCCTAGGAAAAACCTAAGCCAAAGGGTCTGACAGCAGGGTTAGGTGTGTGCCCTTCTCTGTAGACACAGAGCCTTCCACGAATGTACCTGGCACCTGCTAAACCCAGGAGTGGGAATCAATGACTCAAGGAGACTGTGACTCACTGGCTTCCTGATGCTGTGGTGGCTTGGGGAGGGAGTGGAAGAGGTGGGAGGCCACTGTACTGCTTTTTGAGAGGGTGGTATCCATTTTTAGTTGCCTTAGGCATCTGAATACGTATTCTTGCTGTCTTCCCAAACAGAACCCTGCAACATCTCTCCCTCTCTCTTTTTATCTCTCTGTGTCTCCCTGTCTCGCCTCCCTTCTTTATCTCTCCTCATGCTCTTCCTTCTTTTCTCCTTTTCCCTACTTTCTCCTCCTTTCCTTCTCTCTCCTCTCTTCACTCTCTACTTCCTTTTATCTCTCCCTCTCTGTCTCTCACTATATCTCCTTTGTGGCACTTCAAAGGACAGGCCTGAAATCAACAGAACAAAGCTGTGTGTCTGTGGGTCTGGGAGGCACTGCACAGGCTTCTACCTAAGACGCCTTAATAATTAGAGATAAGAAGGAGATGGGCTACAAAGATAGGCAGTGAGCTCCTTCAATTGGCATATCCCCATGTCAGGGATATGGCAGAGGAGATTCTCCTTTTGAAACTGGAGCCCAGCCCCTGTGCCAACTCCGTAAGCAAAAACAGGACAGGGCATTGATGTGGGCATACAGTTAGAAGACAAGAAGGGTAGGAAGGAAAACGCACATAATAGAAAGTATGGTTCCTATTCAGCACTCAACTTGGAACCAGGAGACTTGTGTTCTAATCCCAGCTCCACCATACACAAGCTGTGTGGCCTTGGGCCCCTTCCAACATTGAACATTCAGTGACTGTTCTGTCTTTCTTCATCCTCTGGCCTTGCTCTTCCCTTCCTTCCTCTCCCTCTGTGCTCAATTAGTACATGGTGAGGATCAGGGCCAGTTCTCACCACAGAAATGGGTATTGCTGTGGGCTGGGTGTAGTAGGGCTCGTTTTTGTTCAACCACCTCTGCTTCTTTCCAAGCCATCTAACCACCTCCCAACACACACACACAGACACACACACACACACTCCTGCCTGTAGCACTATATCTAAGCCTCAGATTCTCCTGCCCACAAATAAGATGAGTAGACACAGTTACCATTTATCAAGAGCTCATAAGTGCCAGCAGCTGTGCTAAGAGCATTCCATAAATCAGTTGAGTCTTCCAACAATCTCCGCTAAGTATCTACTTATCATTACCCCCATTTTACAAGTGAGGAAACTGGCTCAAAGGCTCAGAGGGATTGAATAACATATATGAAGGTACATAGCAAGGAAGTGATGGGGTTGGAACTCAGAGGCTTTTCACTCTGAAGCCGCATGCTCTTAGACCCTGTGCTGTACATGAACCCAACACCAGGAATCCTATGCGCTTTCACCCAGAGCAGATGGCCATGTGCTATGTTCACAGTACAGTGTGCTTCTTGAAGCTCTGCTCCAAATGCTGTCAAAACTGTGGTACACGGAGCAATTGAAGCAGTTTCGAAGAGGGGAGAGTGAGGAGATGTTCAGAAGGGGAAATGGCAGAGGGCGGAAATGCAACAGCAGGACCACTAGCTGAGCAAATGCATGGGGCACCCCCAGAAGTGACCATGAGTAGTTAGGCCCTGGGTTTACATGGGGAAAAGTTCAACATAACCAGCCCCCTGCCCTCCCTAAGAGCAGTCCTGGTGAGTCATTCAGATGCTCCTAACACCTCAGTGTGTCTACCACTCAGTTCGGGGAAATACTGTGTACCCTAGAGAGGAATAGCTGCAATGTGAATGATGTAAATTGCAAAATGGAAACACAGATTCAAAGAACTTCAGAAGTGAAAGGAAGCTTAGTGATTATTTCATACTAGGCCTCCTAAAGCCTCCCTTAGCATTTTAGAGATGAGGACATTAGGGCCAACTGACTTATCAGTGGTCCCCACAGCAAGGTGCTGAGAGGAATTTGAAGACCAGATCTCTGGCTTTGGAAAGGGCCTTTCACTCACTGAGAGAAGCCCATGCCATCTTATTACTGTGGTGGATTCCACCCATATAAAACCTTCCAACTCTTTTTCATTAAATACTGGGCTTCATAAGCAAGGCATGGTCAACAGGGCTAACGTAGGGTATTGCTGCCTTGATAAATATTAATTTTCTGGGCCAAAGGACTCGTAGACTTGAACGACTTTCTTTCCCAAAGTGGAGGATGAGACGTGGTGGTTTTTAAAGTGTTACTGGGCAGGGCTGTGACTCAGGAAACCACGGAAAACCAGTCCATGTGTTACATTTAGTGCATCCGCCTAGAGTTTGTCAATCAGAGGTCTTAAGTTTTAGTGCAAAAAAGAAATTGACAGAAGAGAAAAGGTAACAGGTAATGGAGGTTGAGGGGAGAGAAGAGTGCAAGCAAAATGATCCACATGGGCCATCATTCCTATTCACCAATCAATTTGCAGAGCACTTCCAAGCTACGTGACCTTGGGCAGACCAACCTACTCATGGCTTCCATTTCTTTAACATCACACCATCTTCCTTGAGAGCATAATGCATGTAGAAGTGCGTAACAGTGGAGTTGCACTTTACTGGGGTGTTAAGGTTCCACAGTCAGCACAGAAGTTAAAATTGAGTTGCCCTTAAATTCCCATGACCCAAGCCTTTGACCGCAAAGGCCAAGAAACAACTTTTGTTTTCACTTTTTTTTTAGACTGTGCTGTGGCCTTCTTTTCTCTGAGACTGTGGAGGTCAACGGCAAGTCTGAAGCAGAGGTGAGAAGAAGCCATTGAGTAAAAAAAAGATTTTTTTTTTTTTTTTACTTCCCTTCCCTACCCCCCTCCCTAAGTGCACAGAGCTGAATTCATGTAATGAAGCACATGAATGATGTGATACCACTGTGAATAAATAGTATTATATATCCATAAAGGCTGTCTCTGATACTTAAGTCCACCACTGTCTGTCAGTTTGTCATACTGTGGTGGCTTGCATGTTGCCATGAGGCTGGAAGCTATGCCACCAGTATTTCAAATATCAGCAGGGTCACCCATGGTAGATAGGTTTCAGCAGAGCTTCCAAGCTAAGATACGCTAGGAAGAAAGGCCTAGCAATCTACTTCCAAAAATCAGCCAGTGAAAACCCGATGGATCACAACAGAATATTGTCCAATATAGTGCTAGAAGATGACCCCCTATGTTGGAAGGCACTGAAAATACAGTGTCTGCAACAATGGAGGTGAGCATACCAACGATGGTACAGGACTGGGCAATGTTTTGTTCTCTTAGACCTGGGGTCGCCATGAGTTGCAGCTGACTTGATGGTAACTAACAACAGTACTTCAGTAATGCCATTCCCATTTCCTACCGGGAAGGGTTACAGCAGTGCTTCTTAAACCTCACTATGCACATAAATCTCCTGGGGATCTTGTGAAAATACAAACTTTGATCTAGTAGGTCTAGGGTGAGGCCAGAGAACCTGCATTTCTCACTCGCTCCCAGGTCATTTTGATGCTGTTAGTCCAAGGACCATGCTTTGAGTAGCAAGGAGCTATAAAGACATCAGCTTTGAGATGGGGGAAAAGAAATCAGCAAACTTGTGGTAGAAGCAGAAGATTCCTTTCTGAAAATTCTGAAAACCCAGAGTTTTCTATCCAATCCCTGACACTCCAGAGAGCTTTTATTACCTAAGAGCACAGAGCTCAGTCATTTCAAAAAGAAGAAAGGGAACTCCTCAGTTTCTTACCGTTTTTGGTTGGGTCGTACTCGGCACAGCCTGCTGCAAGCTTCTCCAGCTGGGCACAGCACCTCCACCTCCCGTCTATCCAGAAATTAGGATGATACTTGGGTACCAAACTGTTGTTGTTCCTTGTTTCTGAAAGGGGTTGGTGCCAAAAGAAGAATTATTTCTTTGTTACTCTATCAACGCACCAACTTTATAACTCTCTGGGATTTGACCCTGCCGCATGAGTCTGGGTGATTAGTCGAGATAGCCAAATGGCCTAGCACTGCCTGTTGGGACCCCATTTGAGGCAATAACTGTGGAAAAAGCCGGGACTCAGATTTTTATTCTCATTTTTTCCAGCTAGAGTAATTGTGGCTCTAGAGATTTCAGATGGTTTGCTTTTGTCCCAATGCGTTTACTTTGTTGTTGTTATTTGCCATTGAGTAGAGACAGGTTGATATTTAAACCCAGCTCTCTTGGCAAATCCAGCACTAAATAGAACTAATAGTAATATTGACTGAGTGCTTTCTTGGGGATGGGTATTGTTCTCAGTTACTTCTATGTACTGACTCGTTTAATTCTCACAATCACACTATGTACTTATATAACCATTTAAAATGTAACCACTAAAAAATATAAAAACACTTCTTAGTTTGGAGCCTTACAAAAACAAACAATGGGCTGGATTCGGCCAACTCTTGTACTATACTATTTGTTGCTTCCAGTTTCCAGGGGAAAATTTGGGACCTTCCAACAACACCAAAAAGGAGGTTACTAGTCAGAATTTGTAGCTGAGGAAATGGAGATGTGGAAGGATCAAGTAATGTGCCCAGGGTTACACACTTCATAGTTAGCAGGGCTAAGATTTTCACCTGAGCCGCCTGGCTCCACATCTCATGTACTTAAACCCTGGGCTGGTTAGCCTAATTATGCTGACAGGAAGGCAAGGCTTATGAAATACCTTTACGGATGATCTGAAACAACAAGCTAGGTAACATTTATTGGGTGCTGACTACGGGCCTGGTTAATTCTCAGAACTTTATTCACAGGCTTTGGAGGCAGGTACTATTATTCCTGTCTTCTTTTTTTTTTTTTTTTTAAACAATAGATGTGGAAACAGAAGCATGGAGTAGTTAAGGAAATTTCCCAAGTGCACACGACTAGTAAGTGGCAGGATTCAAATCCATTTAACTCCAGGACCCATGCCCTTAATCTTCACATTATACTAGGAGTTGGCAAACTTTTTCTTAAAGGTCCAGATAGCAAATATTTTAGGCTCTGTCAGCCAAGAGGCGACATTGAAGATATTATGTAGGTATTTATGTAACCGTTTAAAAATATAAAAACCATTCTTAGCCTGGGATCTTACATAAACAAATGGCAGGCTGGATATGGCTAACCCCTGCACTACACTATTTGCTGCCTCTAGGGCTCAGGGGAAACTTGGGACCTTCCACCAACACCAAAAGGGAGAAGTGTTTGATCATCAATCAGCTGCTCCCAAATGACACTCTATTCTAGTGTAGAACCAAAGCCCATTATAGGATCAAGGGGTCTCAGGGACTCAGTCATACGGGAGTTTACTCACCTTCTTTAAGGGCCAGGACCCAGCGTTGCCGGCTCTCTCGGTCTGGAGCAAACACATACAGGAGGTAGTTATCATGCACGACCTGGAGACAGTACACAGAGTCAAGGTGAGCCGTACACTCTGAGACGAATGACTGACCACAGGCCCATCTGGCTTACTGGGCTGTGGGCTGGATCTCAGGTGCTTGTCAACATATAGGCAAACATCTGGATGATTAGGGAACTGGGGTCACTTTTACCCAGGTGTTTGGGGGCTGTGCAGATACAGGGTGAACCTCTGCAGCATAGGCGCCTCCTCACAGTTGTGTGCCACCAGTCAGCAATTGCTACATTAACACAGCAGACTTGACAGCACAATTACTTCTCATATTTATTTTTCAGTGATTAAAAAAAATCTTTCTGTCATGGGAGAAAAATAAGATATTAGATAACAAACGTACAATCTGGTTAAAAAAACTTTTATTTTGAAATCATTGAAGACACACACAAAATTTCAAAAACAGTACAGAAAGTTCCTGTGTACTCTTTACCTAGCTTTCCCCAGTGATAACATCTTACGTAACCATAGCACAGCTTCAAAACCAGGAAATTCACGTGGGTACCACACTATTAACTAAACTGCAGACCTTCTTTGTATTTCATCAGTTTTTTAATGCCCTCAATTGTAACCAGGTCTTAAAGACTGGAAAATACGTGCCATTCCTTTTACTTTCAGTCCTAAAACCACCAACTCATGGGGGTCACTTTTCTAGTAGGAAAAAAATCCTCCTCTATGCCAGATTAAAAACGAATATTCACCCCTCAGTTTGGCAAACCAGAACAATGCCCTTGGATGTGCGAGGAGATATCCACTCCTGCAAAGCTATAAATGCCACGAGCGGTAACAAGATTTAAACAATGCCAGGACCTAAAGCCTCTAAAGAGATCCTCTGTCAGCTCCGTCCACAAGAACTTTCTACAGTGATAGATATGTTCTATATACGTAAGGTCCCATGTGGTAGCTACTAGCCACATGTGGCTATAAAACCAAAAAAAACCAAACCAAAAAAACCAAACCCATTGCCGTTGAGTCGATTCCTGCTCATAGTGACCCTACAGGACAGAGTAGACCTGCCCCATAAGGTTTCCAAGGAGTAGCTGGTGGCTATAGAAATGTGAAATATGACTTGTGTGACTGAGGAACTTAGTTTTTTATATTAATTCATTTTAATTAATTTACATTTAAATTTAAATAGCCACACGTAGCTAGTGGCTACTGTATTGGATGATGCAGTTCCAGCAGGTTCCCAGACTGTAAAATCTGAGTCTTCTTACCCTAGAACCTCCAAGCAATTTATAACCAAAGATTTCAATCTGTTGCCCCAAATCATGGAGTAAACTGCTCTTGAAGAACATTAGGCTTGGGGCCCTTGATGACAGCCTTTTTCCTCCCCTCAAGGCAGAGTAATTAGGACCTTCCTTGAGGTAGAAAAGACATGAGGCAGAAGACAGTGAGAAATAACAACATTTTCAAGATTCTGTACTTAATCTTTGTTGAATGAATCTGTCATTTATTAAAAGAACACAGAAGACTTCTTAAGGGCTTGGTCTCAGTTCTAATCCAGGACCAGTCATTCCTTCCCCACCTTCTCTTACAATGGCTGAGGGTTTTAACCACAGTCCAGGGAATGGGAGCTATCCCTCTTAGGCCTGATGGACTTACCTGAAATGGGTATTTATAGTGGCATGGGATGCTGATGTCGCTTTTCACAATCTCAACACATTTGATTCGGGAGAGTTCAATGGAGCCCTTCAGTGTTCGTTTTTTCTGTGGGGAGAAAAGCACATTCCATTTAAACAAGAGAGAAGACAGAATAGTTTCATCTAGATTGCTTCTAGAAATCCATTACTGGATAAGATCCACTAGCTTTGTAAACCAAGACCCCTAAATATCCAGAAGCTGCCTGCTGGCCCTCAGTGCTGAAGAAGACAATGTCAGCAGACTCCTGAGAGACATGACCGTTGAATCGCCTTCTCGATGGGGTGACTGATTCCCACTCATTGAGGTAAGATGTCTTATATCCCATTGTCCTTATGACAAATGGCAGCACTGAAACACATATGTGCAGATTTTCTCTGCTCTTAATAGCACAGTAATTGAACTCAGGCCTGTGCTGGGTGGTGATGTATACCTTTAATGGAAACTTCCTTTTCTACGACTTGCTTCTCCATGTCCCTTAGTTATCCAGAGTCCCACAATGACTTCTACAAGACATTCCTGAGCCTGCTGTATAATTATCCCTTCTCTATCCCACCCCTCACCTCCTGTCAAATCTTACCCATGTCTCAATTCCTTGGACTCTTGCTAGATGTATTTCTCTGATAACTAATTCACATGACGGTGTTCATGATTTATAATGTGCTACACGATACCCATTTCTAAGGGTCCTTGTTCTTGGAGAGTGGATCCCAGGGAATATGATGCCTTATCCAATGGGATAGATTCTATTGGTGAACTATCAGGCTCCACGGAAGGCTAGTTAAGAGCGTACTAGCCTTTTAGAGCATAGCAGCCTTTCAGAGCACAGCAGCCTTTCACAGGTGCATAGAATTAGGCCACTGAGAATAGAATTTAATTCAGCTGTGAAACCAGTTGCACACTACCTCATTACACCATATCCTTTATAAGGAAGTAGTAACTGGTGATGAAATGGGCACAAGGTTGGAAAGGGCCAGGTTCGAGTTTAGGCTCTGCCTCTGACTAGCTCTGTGACCTTGGGCAATTCATCTAACCTCTCTGAACCTTGGTTTCCGCATTGGTAAGTGAGGATAATAATACCTACCCTTTAAGGGCTGACTGAAGAATAAAATGGGATGATGTAAACAAATGACTTGACTCATAATAAGTGCTCTCAATAAAGGGTGCTCTCCCAATTAAAGAAGTCTAGGAAGTCCTAACTATTGCAAAAGTGAGCTGTGATATAGGAGTGCACTGGGGTGGTATTCAGGGAGCCAAGACACCATCAAATTCTCCAGAACTGAGCTCAGTCTTTACTTCCTATTTTTTGATCCCCAGCCTGGATGCAGATTTTTGCTTTAGTACCTGAGACACAGAACCTAGATGGAAAAAGTCAACATGTGTAAAGTACTCCCTATTTAATGCAGGGAAGCTTTGTGGTGTTTCTTTTTCCATTTTCTTTGTGAAAAAATACTCCACTCACTTTTGAAAATGCAACATCTATCCACATTCATTGTAATAAATCAAACGATATGAACATATGTGAAGAAAATATTTATAATGTCTATTTCATCCTCTCCACTCTCCTTAGATAGCCAAAGTTAATCATTTAGAATGTATTCTTCTTTCCCCCACACATTTATAGGCTATATATAAACAAAAATGAGCATCTGCTCTACACAGTGGTCTACGACTTGCTTTCGTAACGTAACGATGTATTAACGGGTCTGTCTTCCCTTAAAACCTCTGAAAATACATGTGTCCTTTGGACTCCTACTATCTTCTCATTTGGAGTCTCCCACAGCTAGAAATACAAGCCCTGATCCTGACCATAATCATAGTTCTTTGGAATGGCTAATCTGTTTTTCAAAAACAGAAGGGCACAGGGAGCTGCCTTTGCAACAACCGTCTGAAGCTATGGGTAAACAGGGAGTCTGAACTTTGAGGTTACCTTGTTATTCGACCTCTGTTGGGTTATTTCCTTAGCAGTGTACACAGTGAAATGAAACAAAAGGTTCATGGCAGTAATATGACAACTCCATTTGCAGATAATTTTGTCTTTGAAACCCACTGATTCCAGAGCTCCCTGAGAGTACAGACCAGGACATGTACCACCACGTCCCCAGTGCCAAGCACAGTGGCTAACCTGGGGTGGGGTCGGGGGAGTGTGATGAATGAAGGCACCAAGTTGGAACACAGTTAAAACAATCTTAATCAGATTTACGGCTAATGCATTTAGCAATCTAGGAAATATCGATTGAAGGCCAGCATTAAGCCAGGCATTTTTCTGAGTGCAGGAAATAGAGTGTTGAAGATGATAAGACACTCTCTTGGAACTCACAATCTGAGAAGGCAGACAATAAACAAGTGTTGGAAAGAGGTGCCTCTGAAGAAAGGCCTGGGGATTTGCTTCCAAAACGTCACAGTCTTGTAAATCCTGTGGAACACAGTTCTACTCTGCACATATGAGGTCACCATAAATCGGAATTAACTCGACAGCAACTTGTTTGGTTTGGTTTGTAAAGAGAAAAAGAATAGGTTTGATGTGATCAACTTGTCGTCAGGGCAAGCATCTCTGGAGAAAGGGCTTTTGAGATCAGAAAGTTAAAAAGGAGCCAGATCTGAAAGGTTTGGGGAAGTGAGCATCTTTGCAGAGGGAACAGCAAAAGAGCAAAAGTTCAGAGGTGGAAAAGTGCTGGCTGCATTCAAAGAACAGAAAGGTGCTTGGAGGGGCTGGAGCCCAATGTTGTGAAGGCAAAGTGGCACCCGAAGAAGTCTTTCAGGGCCAAATCATCCAGGTAAGGGACTTGGATTTAATTTTGAGAGCAACAGGACGCTATTGGAGAAAAGATCATCTCTAACAACCAACTTCCCTCCACCGATCCTGAATATTTTTAGGTTCTTCATGTGCCTCTTCATCACTATGACTTGAATTTTGGGTATCTCAACTTTTGCAATGGAAACCCTGGCAGCGTAGTGCTTAAGAATCCAGCTGCTAACCAAAAGATCAGCAGTTTGAATCTACCAGGCGCTCCTTGGAAACCCTATGGGGAAGTTCTACTCTGTCGTGTAGGGTTGGTATGAGTCGGAATCGACTCGATGGCAATGGGTTAGGTTTTTTTGGTTTTCAACTTTTGCAACATAAAACAAAACATAAAGCCTACAATCATGTAAAATGGTTAAGTGCATTTTGTCATTTCTATTACCAGTGTATTTTAGTTTGTAAAAGTCTTCGTACTGGATTTTGTTTCCTTCTCGTGATCATTTTATGTGCCCTTGTGGTTATCTGACCAGACTTTAGCACAATAACAAATGTTCACGGAATGAAAAAATAACTGCATGAATAATCTCCATTTTACAGACGAGGAAAGTGAGGTTGAAGCGGTCAAGTGTCTCACCCAAGGCAGCTCAGTTGATAAGGTGGCAACCACAGCTCAGATGTCCTGACTACTTGCCAGAGCACATTTCAAAACATGACATAGTCTTTTAGGTGGACCAACTTTTGAGAAGCTTTTATTAACCAGAGAATCTATAGGGCTTGGCATCAGAAAGACATGGTTCAAATCCTGCCGCTGCTACTTACTTGATCTTGGGTAAGTCACTTAAATTCTCTAAGCCTCACTTTTCTCATTTGAAAAACCAGGCATGATGACACAAACATGCTTCATAAGGCTGTTACAAGGATTACATAAGCTCATTCGTGCAAAGTAGTTAATATAATGCCCTGTGCACAGACAAATAAGGGTGGCTAACAGCCTAAGACCCTTGTAACCAGCGCATAAAGTGAAGGTAACTATTAACTGGAGTTATTAATAGGAAAAAAAATTCTTTGTGAAGTTCTAAAGCAGTGCTCCACCACTCGTCTGTCAGTTTGTTGTACTGTGGTGGTTTGCATGTTGCTGTGATGCTGCTGGAAGCTATGCCACTGGCATTTCAAATACCAGCAGGGTCATCCATGGTGGACAGGCTTCAGTGGAGCTTCCAGACTAAGACAGACTAAGAAGAAGGACCTGGTGATTTACTTCTAAAAAAAATTAGCCAGTGAAAACCTTACAAATAACAGCAGAACATTGTCTGATATAGTGAGCCCCTCAGGTTGGAAAACCAAAAAAACCAAACCCATTGCCGCTGAGTCAATTTCAACCCATAGCGACCCTATAGGACAGGGTAGAACTGCCCCATATGGTTTCCAAGGAGCACCTGGTGGATTTGAACTGCTATCCTTTTGGTTAGCAGCTGTAGCTCTTAACCACTACACCACCGGGGTTTCCTTCAGGTTGGAAGGCACTCAAAATACGACCGGGGAAGAGCTGCCTCTACAAAGTAGAGTCGACATTAATGACATGGATGGAGTCAAGTTTTCGAGGCCTTCATTTGCTGATGTGGCATGACTCAAAATGAGAAAAAACAGCTGCAAACGTCCACTAATAAGCAGGACATGGTACAAAGTACGAAGCTAGGAAAACTGGACATTGTCAATAATAAAATGGAAAGCTTCAAGATAAATATCTTAGGCATTAATGAGCTGAAAGAGACTGGTATTGGCCATTTTGAAGAAGACAATCATATGGTCTACTATGCCAGGAATAACAAATTGAAGAGGAATGATGTGGCATTCATTGTCAAAAAGAACATTTCAAGATCTATCCTGAAGAACTCATAGCGACTCGACAGAAACGGGTAATGGTTTTATCCTGAAAAACAAAGCTGTCAGTGATAGGATAATATCCATATGCCTGCAAGGAAGACCAGTTAATACAACTATTATTCAAATTTATGCACCAACCACCAATGCCAAAGATGAAGAAATTGAAGATTAACCAACTTCTGTAGTCTGAAATTGATCAAACATGCAATCAAGATGCATTGATAATTACTAGTGACTGGAATGCAAAAGTTAGAACCAAAGAAGGATTAGTAGTTGGAAAATATAGCCTTGGTGATAGAAACAACATTGACTATTGCATGACAGAATTTTGCAAGACCAATGGCTTATTCATTCCAAATACCTTTTATCAACAACATAAATGGCAACTATATACGTTGACCCGTCTGGATGGAACACACAGGAATCAAATCAACTACATCTG